GGACGCCTATCTGTTTTCATCCACTGCCTGACCACCCCTATGAAAACCGTCACATGGTGGAGTGGTCAGACGACACGCTAACGGGGCCACCTCTAGAAATCCCTTCACCACCCCAGAAAAGTTTTTCTAGAACCACCACTGAGACAAGAAGTGAATAAATGGGATCTTCCTCAGCTAATAAATTACATCAGATCGTTCTAAAAAGAAGGCAAAATATTAACATCCTTTCACCGTATATAAAATACTAAAAGTCCAACATTAAAGCAGACTGTTATCTGGGTGAAGGTGAAGTACATGTTAATAATATATGCTCATGTTACTGACTGCTTCTCCAAAGACATGCCAGAGGATCAGTGGTGTCAAAAGTACACCCATTTGTTACTTAAGTAGAAGTATAGATACTGCAGTTCAAAAACACTGGTAAAAGTTAAAGTATCAACTTGACCTCTTTACTCAAGTAAAAGTGAAAAAGTATGTGCTCCAAAAACTACTTAAAGTATAAAAGTATAAAGTAACTTAAAAAAAAACAAACAGCTGATGTCACTATATGAATTGGAAACTCAATTTTTCAACCATTATGAAAAAAATTCTTTGAGATAGGGCCAAGGATAAGGGAGGTCTTGTTGGTCTCCATCTCCGGATACGCTCTCGCCTGTGTCCGACCTTTCAGACGTATGACATCTTTTTGTGAATCTGACATCACAGCATGGCATAGACAATTCACGTTTGCAGTTTGAAGAACACCTGCTTGCTTCTGATGATTTCCCTTAACTAACCAATGAGTGTTTGCGTTATACGACTCATCCAATTACTCTAGTTTTCACTAGATGTGGATGGCGCCAATGATCTGCACTGGATGGCGCACATGACGGGAAATAAATATTTATAAACATTAAACCAAAGCTAAGAGTTATGAGTAACATTTGTTTTAAAAATGGAAGAAACAGAAAGTAATGTAATGCAATGTAATGAATAGAAGTCAGAAGTAGGAAGAAAAATAAGTAACAGAGTAAAGTATAGACACCTAAAAATTGTACTTAAGTACAGTAACCAAGTATTTGTACTTCGATACTTGACACCTCTGCAGAGGATGTAATACGGCTTTTAAATATCAGACTTTCCAGACTCAAATCTCTAATTATTTTAGCCCATTTTTAAAATGCCCAAATTTTTAAGAATATAGAGAAAAAAATCCTGTGGCAGAAGGTCTTGCAGTGGTCAGACTTCTTAAAATTCACTTAGACAAAGACAGTATAACAAAAAAGACAGGTAAAAAGAAAGAAGAACGTAGGAATAGATAGTAAAATGAAACAGTGATATCTATTAAACCCCCCTAATATTTATATTAATTCATGTCACTTATTAATTAGTTTTCAGAGACTCAGACATGGCACCAGACAGTCAGCTGGTTCTTTAATTATGAGACAAAACAACCCTCCTTAATTTTGTTTTGCTTGTAATCGCCACAGCTGTACCCGATGGCTAACATGCACCGTTTGATCCCCGCCATTATGAACAGTATATGTATCTCTTTTAACCAGTTGTCTGGCTAATATATGTTGCAAAGCAGCGCGGTATTGTTCTCTGCGTGGGGGCTGCTAAGCAAACGTGGGAGCAGTTATTTTTCTTTTTTTGGGGAGGTTAGTTTAACTAATACAGAGCAATATAACTATCTTATAGCTAACTAGATAGCTGAAGCTTTCCTACTATAACCGTCCCAGTCGTCGCTGTTAGACCAAGACATGTCTTGTTTTGTCACCGAATACCGTAGCGTCACCAGAAACACCCCCTACATCTGATTCAAATCATATTTTACCTTTTCTTCGTCGACGGGCGAGGCTAGAGGGTCATCTCCAGGGACGGTTTCTTTGTTTGTGATGCTCGGTGGCTTGTTTTCATCAATTCTCCTCGCCTCTCTCCTCCAGGAGTCGTGCCGCCCAGACTGACAGCACCACCGCTTGAGTGGACGATGTCCCGCCCCCTAGTAACCAATCAGAGACCAGGACGAAAGACAGGGAGACGAGGGCCGACTCTGATTGGCTAACAGCCGTTTCGATCAAGGTGTCACTAAGGGCGCAGCTTGGTCCAAGGGCAGGACACCTGCTGAGAGAGGATGCTGAGCACCGCAGGTGCAGCCACATTAAGTGAGGAAAGAGCCTTAAATAGTATATGATATATACAGCATACAGTCACAATAAAATAAAATAAAAATAAAAATGAATTTGAGGAGTAAAAAAAAAAAAAAAAAAGAATGATTGAATGGAATGTTGTTCAGAAGCAGAGGCGTAGCCAGGAATTTTTTTATAAGGGTGGCCAGGAAATAACCAGTGTACACTGAGGGGAGGCCGAAAGCGGATAGGCGCCAAAATTGATGAGCAAAACATCCATTGTTTCTAAATAAAGACTAACTATACTTTCCCAAATCCTTTGCTAACAAATAGATGCATATATTTAAACATCCATACTTCCTAGATAAAAAGCATAGTGGATAAAATTCTTTCTTGGTTTCTGGGGTGAACATCTTTTCCATTATCTTTACTTACCTATTTTTATCAATAATCATTCTGCATTAAGTTGATATTTACAAGTACTGATATCTACATAAAGCACATTTCTCTACTGTGAGATCAATAAAGTAATACATTGATTATTGAATAAGTTTTTATTAAAATATGTATTTATTTATGATTTAACCGAAAACCCCTAGATGACTTGCATTTTTCTCTTTTATATATATATATAAAAAACACAAAATCTAGTTCTGAAAAGAACCTTACTACTGTACTTACTGGAGTGTATTGATGTGCATAATCAACCACAGTGTTTTAATGTTTTGAACATTCCACTTGAGAGTATGGAGAGGAGCCCCGATGATCCTTTCGGCTGTTTTCACTACTCTTCTCACTTTCTTCCAATCTGAGGTGCTGTAGCCTCCACACCACACAGTGAGACAGCTGCTCTCGAGATAATCAAGATAATACTGCTAAATTAAACTAGTACAAGTTTAGTGCAGTTCGGTTGTATCTGGCACTGTTCACTTCAGTTTTGACACTGCAAGCATATTTGGGAACAGGCGGGAAGAGCCTCTCATAGGACTGCAGAACTGAATTGGCAATATGCTCCTGCTCCAGCCTACTGCCCCAGAGACAAGGTATGGCTTTCCACAAAAGACATTCAGGCCAACTCTGCTAACAAGAAGCTTTCACCCAAATGTATTGGCACCTATGAGGTTTAATCAGTCTTGGGTCCTACCTAAGCTCATCTCAGACTGCCAGGGAGTCTCAAGATCCATCCTGTTTTTCATGTTTCCTTGATTAAGCCTGTGAGATCTAAACCCTTTTGCCCTCCTCCTGAGTCCCCTCCTTCCCCGCGAGACATTGGTGGGTATCCTGCCTACAATGTTAGGAGGAGGCTAGATGTTCATTGACGTAGCAAATGTTTACTGGTGGACTGGAAGGAACATTCCTGGGTTTCTTTTTCGCTCATTCTGGTCCCAGACATGGTTAGAGACTTTGAGGAGTTTTGTCCTGGCCCCAGTGGACTCCCAAGGGGTGGTCATTGAGGGGGTTTGCTGTCGGAACCCTTGTGTGGAGAGTTTTTCTTTTCCTGTGGAGCACTGCTGGTGGGCAAGGTTGGCTGTCAGACGCACCTCAGTTCTATCTGCCCATCTATCTGCTAGGGATTTAAGGAGCTGCAGCCACCTCTTCTGATGGCCCCATACTGCGGTACCAGTCTAGCCAACGTTTACAGTAGCCTCTATGAGAACGTAATGTCTTTTTCCAAGTGTAACCTTTTTAAATTGCTCACCTCTCATCTCTCTGGATTTTCAGAATGGAACAAAGCTCCCCAGACTGATCACTCAGAGTCAAGCTCTCTTGTTCCCGACCTCTGCCCCCTAATCCCATCAGTTGCTCCAGTTGTCTCTGCCTGCCCACTCTCCACCACCTCTGAGACAGCTCTCAGACTCCGTTCACTCCCTTCGTTTTAACCCATATCTCGAAAGTTCTGCACAGTCGTTGGCTTTGTCCACCGAGGGACTCCCAGTCCTTTCCCTATCCTGTTTGGCTGAGTTAAAAAATAAAACTCCATGCTTTGTGTCCGTGCCTGATTCTGTATGTGGATCAGAAAGGTTCAGCCAGACATGACACTGGCTTTCACAATAATTGTTGCAATTGCTCAGCTCTTTATCAGACATTTAAGTTGTGAATCTGTGTATGCAGCATCTCATTACTGATTCCTGCTCTGTCAGAACTCCCCCTCTCTAAATTTAAACTGAAAGTAACATTTTTGGGAAGATAGTATTCATTCAGAAAAGTTTTATTAAAAATGTAGAGCAAACAAAATCAAAAAATTCAATAACCTGAATCAAGAAAAATGTTATACTGCACAAGACGTACACAAAGCGTACAGCCTTTCATATGAAATTATAATAGAAATGTATAAATGAACATGTACAGCCTGACCGGAAGTGACATTTCTTGATTTAGTCAGATTTGTATCGACTGGTTCCACAGCAGATATTTACTAAAAAAAAAGTGTATTACTCCCCCCCCTGTAAAGATCATCCTTTTTTAATTTGACTAATATAGTGTGAAAAATCATATCTTCAAGGCGTGTAATGCATTGGTCTGGGAAAACTGAAAACAATCAATTATGAAGAAAATTTGAAACAGTCTAAATAAGGCATTAAGGCCTTAGTGCAAAAATAAAAAAAAGTTAAGGATGATACAAAAAATGTTATCCAGTTCAAGTTCTTCACATAACATAAAGAGGTAAGATTGAATAAAACCTTTGCAGATGTGTGAAAAGGGACAAAACAGGAAAATTGGCATCAGAATAATCAGACAGCTGAAGAAGACTAAGAGACAGAGTTAACATACAGACACTCATAAAATATGCTTAACATCCACAATTTTGTGCATAAGTTTTAGCTGCACCTTAATCCTTATTTCAGGCATTCAATTCAAAAAGAGAAACTATCATTATTTTGATCCATACATTTTAGGTATCAATTTCTAAAAATTTCAATAATCATAGCTTTCAGCTAATTAAAATCTTAAGCTGTTTCTCAAAAAAATTAGACTATTATTAAAAACTACTTTAAGGAAGCTTTTAAATACAGAGACGGTACATTATGCCCTAAGCAAACACCAGGGAAGATTCCTGCCTCCCAAGTTGTTCAGCAGTTAAAGACACCGTCCACAGGGAAGGTAAGCTACAAAAGGTCATATTAAATAAAGCATATTAACGGAAAGTTCAGTGGAAGAAATTTTTTTTAGGAAACTGGGATAAACTGACTCAAGAGACCATTGCTAAATTGTGAAGTGTGGAAAAAAAAATTTCAGAACCGTCTAACCTGACTTAAGAAGAAAAAGCACTAGAACATGGCTGAGTGATCCAGACTTCTGTATATTTTCAGATCAAACTATTTTTTTCTGAATTTTAAAGTCCCATAATCTTGAGGTGGTGTGGGAAGAGACAGAATAAAAGTGTCCAGTTTCCTCAGGCAGGGATAATTAGGCTAGACTCCTTCATCCGACTCCACTGTCGGATGAAGGAATTTGCTCTGCAATGTTAGGATTGTCTATTCAAGCCCTACTTTCAGTGTCATTGTGTCCTTGGGCAAGACTCTTCACCTGCATTGCTTACTGATGGTGGTTGGAGAGACTGGTAGCACAAGTTTTATTGCAGCGTCGCTTCTGTTAGTGAGCACCAGGGCAGCTGTGGCAATGTAGCTTGCCACCAACCTGTGTGTGAGTGTGTGCGTAAAAGACTAAATGTAGTGTAAAGTCCTTTAGTCAACTCCTCTGACTTGAAAAAGAGCTATATAACTGCATGCCATTTCCTTTGGTGCAATAAGCACAGCACCACATCTTTCCATCTGCTGTCAACCTTTATGATAATTCTGATTCTTATTTATGATTCTGCCAAAGGTATCAGTGCCTTCTATACATGGAATCACTGAATGATAAAGCAGCAAACTCTCTTAAGCTGAAAACTTTGGCGGATATTTTCAAGAAAAAGATAAAAGATGCTCTCAACAAAAATGCAGAAGACATGAGGGCCTTTATGGAGCCAAAATGGTCTCCCATTTCACCTCAGCAGAGCCACACGCAGATCATCCTATGCTAAATATGGATGCTGACAGTCTTGCAAAAGAAGACCCAATCAAGTATAAAGTGCATATACCATACAGTACGTCCAAAAGCTACAACTACATACTTTACATATTACATTCTCAATTCTAGAAAAAATGAACATGGGTTTTGATTAGCTGTAAAGTTATGATCATCAACAATAACTTACATAATGTGAGTCTCATTTTTGAAATGAATTCCTGAAACATTTTGAACAATTTTGCTCTTTTAATCTACTGAGAAACCCCTGTTTAATCATGAACTCTTAAAAGATATGTAAACCCAAGAACACATAGAACAACATCAATTACTGCAGAGCTACATAAAGTAGAAAGTCAAATTCTTTCATCGGTTTACCCAAAAATGGGTTTTGGCTTTTTCATGTATGCATTAGTTCTGTGAAGAGAAAATGTGTAGGTAAGAAAAAGTTGTTTGGTAACACTGTAATTACAAAAAAACAGGTGATAAGTCTTTGTTCTGTGTTTTTTTTATATTTCCTTAAGCTCCCCAATAGGTGTTTAACAGTTGGTTAGTCTATTAATGGAGAACAGTGTATACGACTGCGAGATAAAAAACAAATATGGTTCCACATCTCCCGTTAAATACAATCAGACGACACTGAAGTAACATGAGGAATCCAATTGCGGGATGTTATCGACTGCATTAACCTTTTCATGGGAAACATTGTCAAAGCTTAAATAACAGAAACTCCTCCAAGATGCAACATTGGTGGTGTTAAGCCTTGGCTCCTTATGCCCATGTTAAGGAGGTTCTGAGTAAGACATTTTTATAGTGAGCTGAAGGTGCTGCTATTTATGTACAAATGACAAAATACATAAGAGATAAAAAAAAAAAGATGACAGAGTTTGGTGAAACAGCATGGTGACTAACATCTTTTCCTCCTCAGAGAGTTCAAAACAGTGCTGTCGTCATGTGAGAGCTTCAAAATGTGGCGATAAAATTGGCCAATGACCCGTAGTTTATTCAAAAAAAAAAATGGCACAGTTTAATAACAAGTCTTCTCAGGCATAGCGAGGGTCTGCTTCGACCAGCGACAGCTGCTGGAGGTAGGCAGGCGACTGGCAGCCCTGCGACCGCGCCGTCTCCACAAAGATGGTTGAGGAAGTGAGGCTTTTGCGGTCCTTCTTAAGGGGGTGTCTTCTTTGCCAACGGCAGAGCAAGAGCTCCACCTGCTCTCTGAAGAAGCTGGTTGTCAGGGTGTACAGAATGGGGTTCAAGGCACTGTTGATTGGAAGGATGAAAATGACGACCCAACTGGAGATGGTGTCTAAAGAAGCAAAGGGAAACAGCAATGTAAGGCAAGGAACATTTACTCGCAGACCATTTTTACACAAGGTAACTTGAGATGCTTCCAAGGAAAATAACATACAAAAAAAAACATAAAGAGAAATTAGAAATTAGATCATTTTAGCCATAATTTTAAAACAGTTAATGAAGACTAAAAATCTGAAAAAAAGCAGATTTTTTAGATTTCTGGGAAAGCTGTTATAGATCATACTGTTTCCAGTTATGATAAAAGAGACATTTTTTAAATTTTTACTGAAAAATATCTTAACAGCCTTTTTATATGACAGTTTAAGACTAAAACATTCTTTGATGAGAAAACAGACACCTCAGTAGTTCATGCAGCTTTAAGCCTCTTGGCTTTTTTCGCTGCATCTAATTAGAGTCAGAAGTTCTCACACTGTTTCTACAGATGTGACGTCAAGTGAATCCATGCCTAGTTGGTCTGACCAAGCAAACAATCAAAACGTTATTTTCAAGATAGATTTTGTGGATATTCCAAAGCCACTGGCATCCAGCTCAACTGCCACCAATGTCAACTCCAGATAAAGGGAAAAAAAATATAAATACAAAAAGATCTTGTCAAGTAGGAACGCTCACTAGACTAATGAGTAATGGACTAATAGACTAAACAACATTGGGAGGTTTGAGGCACTAAACAGTACTCCAGCAATGGAAGCCATTCCACATCAGGGAGAGGAGGCACTCTGCTTTGACACAGCTGACATATGGAAGACTCTGAGGAGAATCAACCCAAGGAAGGCCCCAGCCCCCCAAAACATACCTAGGCGGATGCTCTAGGAGTGTGCGGGTCAGCTGGCTGGCATCTTACAAGACATCTTTAACACTCCACTGGACCAAGCCATAGTGGCAGCATTCTTTAAGTCTGCCTCCATCATTCTGGTCCCAAAGTAGCCTCAAGTTGTCTCATTCAATGATTAACCGGCCTGTTGCACTGACTTCCACTATGGTGAAGTTCTTCGAAAGGCTTGTTAAAGAACACATCGTCTCCAGTCTAACAGCCTGATCCTAAACATTGAGAATCATCGTCAACTTCAGAAAGAACCGGCATAAACACGCTCCTCTTCTCATCACAGCAGCTCAGCTGTAGAGGTGGTCATTAGAACCAAATTTCTGGGGGTGCACATCACAGACACCCTCACCTGGTCTATGATCACAGCCTCACTGGTCAAAAAGACACAGAAGCGCTTTAACTTTCTTGGGAGGATGAGAAGAGCCCACCTGCCCCCGCCCATCCTCATGACCTTCTACAGAAGCACCATAGAGAGCGTTCTGACCAGCTGTCTCACTGTGTGGCGTGGAGACTGCAGCGCCTCAGACAGAAAGAAAACGAGAAGAGTGGTGAGAAAAACAGCTTTTTCCCTGCTGTCGTCAGACAGTTGAACTGTTGAACTCTAAACTGGACTCTGCATCACACTTGCAACATTATTTTGCACCACCGATGTGGCTGAAACTTTTTATAATTCTTTTAAAAAGGACACAACTCAAAGTTATACTCTTGTATACACTTTGTGTAAACAAGATGACAATAAAGTTTGTCTAAGTCTAGGTCTAAGAGCAGAAGACTGCTGCAGTTCTGTGTTTTGGCCACAGGTGGCAGTATCATTATAATTCGGTCATGCCTCTTTAATAGACCCAGCAGTTTTTACATATTTATCTAAAGGAGTCATAAGCTGGTACAAATACTGAGTATTTACTCAGTTTTAGGGGAAAAATATATAGAGCTCATGTGGAACCCTTTTCATACCCTTTTTTCCCCCATTGTCTCAGAAAATTATAACACCTTAGATAAGAGGTTATGGTGCCCTCAAGCATTTTCTTAAAAAAAACAACAACAACCCTGCATTAGACTAGTTTAAAAATGATGCTTTAAGCAAAAATGTAAAGCTTTTGAGGAGTATGTGCATATCTATGTTCGAATTTGGGACTCCTTCATGAATAACTGCATAAATGTAGCAAAGAGGTGATCAGCCAGCAGCACTGCGTAGGTGTAATGGATGCCCAGATTGCTTGAATGGCTGCCTACAAATCATTAGACTTGCTTGGTTCTGATGTCTCCTCTTATTGAAATCAGCTCATAGATTTTCTATGGCATTCAGGTCAGTTCAGTTTGCTGGCTAATCAAGGTCAATACAATCGTGGTCATTGAAAAAGCTTTTGGTGCCTTTGGCAGTGCAGTTAGATACCACACCCTGCTGGAAAATAAAACCAGGATGTCCATACAGTTTATAGGTGATAAATCTGGATTCCAACCATTTCTTGTCAAGTCTAGATTGCAAAACATCCTGATGCCAAAGCTCTTATGTTTTGCAACTTAACTGAAGTCCTGGAAGGAAATTAAATTGACATTTTCTGGATTCTAGGTTTATAGATTCTATTATATGTTGAACTTGGTGTGCATGCATTAGACTTTTCTACTACTTCTTATTTTAATCTAGATCAGATCAGGAACTTCACATGAATTTACCTATTTAATAGGCTACTGATAGATGCTGAAACAGACTAATTGTTTAAAAATTGAAATAAAGGATGTTATTGCATCCTTTTCTAATCAGTGCTATGAAGGATTTTCCTTTTTTGAAGATCTACTGTATGTCCTAATGAGTCGAAACAAAAACTTTGTTGAATCTCTTTTAAAAGGTTTGGATGAAGTGAAAGAAAAAAAGATGGAAGTTTTTTCGAGGCACGTCAGATAGCCTAGTTTTACACCTGGGACATGTATTTCACTTTGCGAAGCCAGTGGCCACAAATTTAGGTTTTAAAATAGGCAGTCATCTTAACTTTGACAGCCAGATCAAAGCTGTGGTTAAATCCAGTTTCTTTCTGGCCAAAACAAAGTTCTCGCTAAGCAAAGCACCCTCTGAGACAGTGATCCATGCCTTTGTGACCACTCGGCTGGATTAATGCAATATAATTTATTTAGGTGTTTTTGGATCGTTCATTGCCCGTCTGTGGCTTCCGGTTCACTTTGGGATTCATTTAAAAATTCTTTTATTTTGTTTCAAGTCTTTAAATGGCTTTGCTCCAACATATATCGCTGATCTCCTATATCCTTATTTACCCCTTTGTTCTCTTAAGTCAGCGGGTCGATTACTCCTGTCAGTACCTAGAACAAGGTATAACTCAGAGGGGACTGGATCATCTCTGTACACAGAAAAAAAAAGTGCAACCTCTTTTGGCATCTACGTAATCATATTTAGTTATTTTAACACAATTATCCTACCCTGCTAACATAAAACAATTGTGTTAAACTAACTAAAGACTAAAGTAAATGCCAAAAACTGTTGCGTTATATTTTTTCAGTGTAGTCAATCCCAAACCGGAATGATTTGTCACTGTATATCAGGCTGGCTTCTTCTTTGACCATTTTAAATCTCTATTAAAGTCTAATTTTTTCTCCCTGGCATTTAATACTCAAAAGGATGTTTGATGATTTTATGTTTTTTTTTCCCATATTGTTTTTACTTATTTATTGATTTTATATTGTAGATATTAATCTTAGTGTATTTAATGGTGTTTGTATTTCTGCTTATATGCCGCACTTTGGTCCTATTGGTTTTTTTTAAAGTGCTATATAAATAAAGTTGGATCAGATGTAAGTTTTAAAGATGAAGCTCAGAAAGAGACAAATAACTCACAACCACGTCAGCAAAGCACCATGCGGCTGCTTTTTATGAAATTAAGGCTTGCATGATCATTAAGGGAATAATGACACAAGGAATAATTGTAAAAAGTCTGAGATGTCTTTGTTTTTCTCACCTGGTATCTCCATCTCCAGCAGTGAGAGAATCTTCACTAAGAATATTGGAATCCAGCAGAGGGCGTCAGAGAACACTATAAAGAAAAATCTGTTGGCCACTGCTACATCTCTGTGCAGTCTGCTCCTCAGGTCAGATGCATTGATGCCAGTTTTGTAGATGGAATAGAACATGCTGGTGTAGGAGAAGACGATCACAAGGAACGCCACCAGATTGAGACCTAAAACAATGAACAGACTGTTCACACGTGTATTCAGAAAAAAGGAGAAGCATAAAGAGCTTTCAGTTTAGAAAGACCCCAGCAGCTTTTGCAATAACAGGCATAGAAATGAATATTAACGGTTCTGCAAACACACGCATATCAGACTAAAGCCTTGTGTTGTGCTTATAATGGTGAAAATCTTATGTTTTGGCTTCCTAAAGCCTTTTAAATCCATCATGTCTCCAAAGGTGTGTAGAAATAAAATTCCATGGATGCTAGTCCATACATCACACGTAATTTTTTTCTTCTATTTCACATAAATCGGTCAAGCAACAGGGTTTGAAATGCAAGCAATACAGGATAATATTTGTTAAAAGTAGACATTTAATAAGAAACATAATCAGCGAGGTAAAACAGGAAAAGGATTGCTTTCAGAGAAACTGACTCCTCCCTTATCTTATGCACAAGCAAAAAATATGTATAGAATTACTGCATGCAGGAAAGCCAAAATACCAAAATGTGCATAAAAAATTCACAATTCTGAAACATATGCTTTAAAAAAGTTTAAACTTTTAACAAACAACAACAAATGTATATTTTATCAATATTTTAACCTTTTTACTAATACCAATGAAGCAGCAGTTGGTAGAAAAAATGAACTTAATCAACCTTTTTTTCTGAAAAAACACTGTGTATATAAATGGTTTCATTTGAATGAATATTTTTTAAATCCCCACCCAATATATACAATTATATATATATAAAAAAAATATTTCAAGGGCAACATTTTGAAATCAGGAAAAAACCAACCTGCTGAGCCACCTTTGCCCAGGTTGAATAATAACACCAGACACCAAAGTTACTTAAACGTGTTAATTTCTTAATATCACATAACTGCAGACAGCATCTGCTTATCAGTAGTACTTAAAAAAAAAAAAAACAACCTTTGTAGTTACAACTTCAGTCTACTAGAGCAATGGTCGTACAACTTTTAGATTAATCCCTTTTTCAGCATGTCTGGATCAAATGTTACCTCAGCATGTTTCTACTGAGCTGAATTATGTGCCGTGAAGGAATCCAGTCATTTGATTCAGAGATTAATTAACGCTTTCCGTAATAAAGAACAGCTTTAAAGAACAGCTACAGCTATACTGAGATTAATTTACATGCAGAAGAGATTATTATTTAACCATTAAATTTGTTTGTATTAGATTTAATTAGGAAGTTTTTAATTGCAAGGATATGAAGACTTTTGAAAGGTACAGTAAATCCAAAAGTTATGTATATTTTCGAGGTAAAAATTAGAAACAAAAGAAACAAAGAAGCAAAGCCTCTGAAAAGGAAATGTTGGCAAAGCTTAAAAGAGAACATCTAAAATAATTTTGGGACTTTAATCCTGAGGTTTACAAAGAACACTAAGTAACGACTGGCAGGCTGACGATGCATCATTAGATAAATCGCCTGTGTTTATTAGTCGCAAATGTTCTGTTAGTTTATTGGATCTCTGTAAAACTGCCAGTAACACGTCAGACTACAGCTACATTTTCCATGATGAAAACCTTAATCCTTGTAAAATCCTCCTTTTGGACTCTGATTACAAGCATATCCCCAAAGGTGTCTTTTTCATTACCCTACATGATTAATCAAAAGGACATTTACCTTCTAACAAGTTCAGAAAGAAGATTGCAGTAGTATACAAGAGAGAAAAATAAAATGGTTCTTTAATTTACCCAGAAAAATCCCGGTGGAATATCCTTTGGCTGTAGGTTTCTCTTGCCTGTCAGAGTGGAGGGGGAAGCAGACCCCGTTCCGACCGTAGTAATTGCCAAAGATGTCTTCGTTCATAAGCGGCACAGCGGCAATGATGAAGCCCATCAGCCAGATAGAAGACAGGATCACCTTGCATCAGAACAACAAATATGCTGTTAAGGTTTCAGATGCAACATGCCTCCAAGTTCACAGTGAAAAAAACACCTGGAACATTAATTACTTAAATCCACATTGTGACTGACATTTAATTAAATTAGCAGAATTTAAATGCTTAAATTGACTGGTTTCTACCTGTTGAAGGACATTTAAAGGTTTGTTGCTGTCTAGAGAGGAGCCTCCCTCTCCCCTTAAAAAAATGAAGAAATGTCTCTGTCCTAAAGATGAATAAACAATGCCCTGAAAATGTCAGTTTCTTCAAGCTCTTCCTGGATTGTCAACTCTGTCGGCATATCTAAAATAGGCATTGGAAAGCCCAAGGTGTTTTAGCCTTTTTCGAATTACAGGCAGAGCTGAGCCAGAGTCAGATATGTGTGATGAGTTTTTGTTCTGCACACAAAAAGTGAGATGGGTATGAAAATCTAAAAATATAGCATTCTTATTAGGAAACAATGAATTGCAAAAGTAGTCATCTCCATAGACTTTTTTTGACGTTTTCTACTTTTTTCTACTATGGTAAAAAAAAAATAATGACGCGAAATGCTGAATGAAACTAGGTTGACCCTGAAGGAGCTGCAGAGATCAACTCAGGTGGGCGAGTCTGTTGAAAGGGCAACTTTTAGACAAGCACTCTATAAATCCTGCTTCTACTCTAGAATGAACATTGGGACAAATTCCCCACTGCCATCAGACTGCTGAACCATTGAGAAAACTCTAAATCATGTCACAGAACCTGAATCACACTCACAACACCAAACCAAAACACTATATTTTTGCACCATATATATTTAATGCTCTAAACTTCCATATCAATGCGGTTTTTTTGCACCATGTTTTCCTCCCGCATTGTTTACATTTGATCACTGCTGCACTTTAAGAAATGGAAACGTCATTAAGCTGTACATTTTGTATACACACATTATGTATACAAAATAGCAATAAAAGTTGTCTAAGTCTAAGACAAATATGAACTAACTATCCACACACTGCAAAAAACCGAAATCTAGATAAGTATTTTTCTTTTTAATATAAGTGAATTTTTCTTGTATTGAGGAGGTAAAAGAGACATTTTGCCAATGGAACAAGTCAATTTACACTTAAAATAAAAAAACACAACTGCATTGTCTTATTTCAAGTGCATATTATCTACTTATCTTATTTTAAGAGTAAAAATACTCATTCCATTGGCAAATCATCTAATTTACCTCCTAAAATTAAGGGTAATTACACTTAATTTAAGACATTTTTACTTATTTCTAGATCATTTTTGCAGTGCAAGACAAATAATTCTACTTTTAAGCTTTGTTCTATAAAAACTTAACCTATAGACACACATCATTTCTACAAGAAAACGTTATAAAACATCTGGTTGTCTTTTTTAAGATACGATTAAGATTATTTGGAGTGATTCACACTCTTATGACCTATTAAATTCTAAAAGAGAAGACCACAAGAAGAAAAATGGGAATGGAAGAAGAAAAAAAAGAAGCTTGAAAATTATGACGCAGTATTAAGTCAGCCACTGACATCTGAATCCATTCAGGATAATAAATAGGTCCCTGGCTTCTGTTTCTTTCTCCTTTACACATATCTGGACACAGAAGACAGCTTTGCTCCTGTCGACCAAATTAGTCACTTTAAGGTAAGACAGGGTAGCTTGTTCTGGTCCAGGGTTTGGATCTCTGATAGGTCTTCAATTTGGTTTTAGAAACGGGTCATTAAAGCCGAGAGATCACCCTCAAAAAGCTACAGTACACTTAACATGAAGACAAAATTGATTACATTCACTATCACAGCATTTGGTGCAAATAACTGTACATATGCAGCTGTTAAGGAACAATCAGAATAGAGTTAATAAGAATTTTTGCTCTCTTGTACCAGAGTTTCGATTGAAATTTTGTAAATTCAAGCATTTAAATGCCCCTTAGATTTAGAGGGTCCAACAAGGAGAGACTTGTTTTTTTTAACATGTTTGAAATATGCTGATGAAGGTTCTCAGTCATCCAGGTCATAGTCATTCCGTAAAAATTAAAAAAGTATCCACTGGACTTGGTTTTCTTTTTTTTTTTTTTTTTTCTTTTTACAGTGTCCTGTCTGGCAAGGTGGCAATAAGAATAATTGTCTTGATGCCAAAAGGAGCCCAACGACTTGGTTTTCAAGATTTGAAAAAAAAAAAAAAAAAAAAAAAAAAAGAACAGAAACACATCAAAGATGCTCTCCGAAACTGTGGATACCCAAACTGGGCTTTTATCAAATCAGCAAGGAAATCCAAAAGACACGCAACAGAAGACAGCGATGGGAAAATTAAACGCAAAAACATCACAATCCCTTATGTTGCTGGAGTGTCTGAAAAGCTCAAGAGGATTTTCTCCAAACACAAGATCCCAATACATTTCAAGCCAAACCAAACCCTTAAACAGAGGCTAGTGCATCCTAAAGATAAAACCCCCAGACCGAATATGAGCGGAGTGGTATATGCTGTTCAGTGCAGCGAGGAATGCTCTGATCTTTATATTGGCGAAACCAAACAACCTCTCCACAGACGCATGGCCCAACACAGAAGAGCGGCCGCCTCTGGACAAGACTCCGCAGTACACCTACACCTTATGGACAAAGGACATTCTTTTGAGGACCAGAATGTCCATATTCTGGATAAAGAAAATAGGTGGTTTGAGAGGGGCGTGAAGGAAGCCATCTATGTTAAGAGAGAAAAACCAACTTTAAACAGAGGTGGTGGACTCAGATTCCAGCTTCCAAAAACATACAATTCAATCATAGACATGATCCCTTCCAGATATCACCAAACCCCCCACCCCATCACAGAGGAACGAGGGACCTACCCAATCCAGCCGGTGAACAATACCTCCTTAACGACTGACTCTTAATAATCATAGACAGGTTTCAGGTATTACAGGAGACAATCCCCCCCTTAATGGCAATCCCCCCTTTAACGACCGACCCCTAGAATCATAGACAGGTTCAGATATTACAGGCTAACGATGGAACTAAACGACCCATTCATCGGTTACCATTGCATGTTTCCAAGCGATACAAGGCGTTGTCTATATAAGACTCAAACTCACTGTGGATCCAGACATTTGAATTGAGAAAGCTTCGGAGAGGTGGCGAAACGTCTTCAAATCTTGAAAACCAAGTCCAGTGGATATTTTTTTAATTTTTACGGAAAAACATGTTTGAAATTCACATTATGTGCTAGTGGAAACGGTGATGCTTTTTAAAAGAATTACTTAGACACTCAGAAAAGATGGATTGAAAACTGTCCAAAAGTAGAGGAGGGAGAAATTAACATTTTGTGGAAGAACACAGATAATAATCATGAATGGTTCTAATCAAAGCAAAATCAAAAGTCAAAATCTTTCCTCAGGGTGATGAAGTGATGCAGTCATCATGTCTACTGCCTACCAAGCAAGCATGTGTGGACAGTAGTATAAGCTTAGGTACCGTATATGCAGTCAGTTGGACCAGTTTAGCAGCAACAGGGGCCAAATTCTGAGGTCAGCTAACTACTTAAAGATTATGAATAAGGAAGTTATTCCATCAGGTAATTTATTTTCTATGACTTGCTATGAATGACAATGACAGGATTCATTTGGCTCAAATTGTGCAAGAGTACTTCAAGGACCATGAGACATCATTTTCACGCATGGATTGGTCACTCCGAAAACCAGACTTTAACCCCATGGAGAATCTTTGCTGGAGAGGATATTATGTAGTGGTCGGACTCTTCCTTCATCTCCACAAGCTTGAATGAATATACGGTAGCTTTGGATGGAAATGAATACTGTGACATTGCAGAAGCTGGTTACTGATGCCACAGTGAATGTATGTTTGTAGGACGGTATAAAGAAATATTACAGAGTGTGACTTTTATGTTCTTTGAAAAGGAGCAGTTTATTCTGCACATTCGGATTACCATAAAACCTAATTAATATTAACTGTACATAGGTGAAGCACTGATAGTCACAGATATAATTTTTATTTTCTCTAATTAACAAAGGATATTTTAGGGTTTTTAAACAGCTGCAAGCTGAAATGACACATAACGACTTGGTTAAAATAATCCCAGCGATGTAAACAGATTGATGACAGATTGTTAAAAACCTTTTATGGGAAACGTTGTCAGCAATGAAACAGCTGTGGCTTGGAAATCTCATTTATTTTGCATGTCTTTTAACAGGACCTCAGCGTCTCTTTTTACCTTCTGAACAAAGTCGAGCAGCTGGAAACCACCCGGTTTTACAACTGATTTTATTTCCTCCTTCTCCTTGCAGACACCTCAGCTAATGAACTGTTCTTAGAGGTAATAAAAGTATTGTGTTTTTGTTATTTTGCTGGACAACACATGCTACATTTTTATTTTTTAGAATTTATTTTAACAAATTTTACTCGGTTCTCAAAAAATGACTCATACAGGCGTTTTGTGGCTGCATTAATGCCAAAAGAGACAGCCTCTATAGAGAAAACAACTCTCTCAAAAAACTTTTTTCTTGGAATAACTCATCTGTTTCTTGGATTAACTGCTATAAGGTTACAGGATATACAGGATTCTGTGCAAAAATGACGCAGAGTTTTAGTAAAAGATGATTAATACTTGATAAAAGCATGAAAACAAACACAAAAACAAGAGGATTAAAATTCTGATCAGAGATAGAGGAGACACAGTCACTCACCCCTGTCTGGAGTTTGCCAGGTCGCACATTGCTGAAGGGGAACACAATAACCAGGAACTTCTCTAGAGTCAAGTATGTCAGGAGAAGCACAGACACCTGGGGGGGGAAATAACTGTCATGAAAAAGAAGTAATAATGTTATCTTAAATCAATACCTTTAGCATTTTAAGGTATATTTTATATTCACACCTAACTCTCAGTGCTATCATTTGTCCCTCTGTGGTGGAATAGGCTCTTCATGCACAGAAAAGCCAGATAACTCTACACATTTAATAATTGAACCATTGTTTTACAGAAACAACACAGTTTGCAGCACTTTGTGAATTCACTACAGTCGGCATTATATTAAGCAAAAGTGGGAGGTGTGGAGCCATCATGTCATCTCTATGTCATATATTTGTTCTGCCCAGCCACTGAACCAGGTGAGCCCAATCTGCACAATTTAATTCATTTTGCAGATTGGACTCACCCTGTTCAGTGGCTGGGCAGAACAAATAAATGACAGAGATGACATGATGGCTCCACATCTTCCACCATATAAGGTCATGCTCAAGATATTTGGATAGATGTCCTTAAGAAACTCCATGAGGAGCTATCAGCGTCACCAAACTGCTGGTATTATCCTTATCTTCTTCATCTTAACAGAACTGATAGAGCTGGAAAAAGGTTTTAATTCTAGCCCACAGATGAGATTGCTTATTTTACGTTCTCCTACCTCATTTGTTTACTCTGCTGGTGTCATATTCAGTCTAGCTGTTAAAAAAAGCAAACCTGGAGGTAGTGCTCCATCTTCATTACTGCAGTGAACCACAACCAATCATCAATCAACACCCCTCATTATGATGCTACCCTCACCATGCCGTAAATTAAAGGTATATTGGGGGATGTTCTTTTTCAGGGTGGATCATCTAAATAAGTGGTCCTCCTTATTGTTAATCATTCTGATGATATGTTCACGTAAGGCCATCATAGGTGTTTGTTGCCATTTTCACTTTCCAGTGGTGAGTCTGACAAAGTTGAGAAATTGCAAATCGTCTTTTGGACAGTAAGCTTGTATAAGCGATGCAAACAGAAACTTTTAAACAGAGCGTGCACGAGGAGAAATGGGCTTGTGCGTGCCCTCACTCACATGTAATAGGTGTTCCCTCTCAGCAGCAGGTACAGGGTTGTGCATGTGCATGTGCATATTTATTTATTTTTTTTAAGTAGAGAAGGTGGGTCTTTTAAAAAAAATTGCAAAAATCCTCCACTATACCTTTAAAATAATTGCAATTAGGTACCAAACCTGCACTGACTTATCTTAAAGTACTGGATAAGGAATCGCTCCATGTGTTCCCTGTCTGACCATGAAACTTTGATCCAGCAGGAATTTACATTGTCACTGTCAGCAGCTGCAAAATCTGATTGCTGCTCAAAGGTATCAGTTTTGCAGAAGGAGCTTCTACATCACAAGACTTCCCCCGAAACTGTAGGTGTGATTTCATTGCGAAGAATATAATTGATGTTCCAGTATTTTGTTTTTATCTAATAACTGCCTTGTTTTTCTTGAACATTATACAAAATTGCCTTTTATTTGACTTTGGATCAAGTGTTTGAAACTTGGACCCAGTTCAGTGTTCAAATAAACACAACAAGAAGCAAGAAACAGAGACCAAAATATTGTTGGAGTGGATAAACTAAGCTCACAAAAGTCAGCTGGTATAGCCCTGACCTCAGACCTATTAAAAATTAACGAACTGTGTCTGAAAGCTTGGTCTCTCGCCACACACCAGTCAGCTGAAATTAAGTCTTCTTCCAAGAATGGCATTTAAAACTCAAACAGAATAACAACACAATTTATAATATGAACTTCCAACCATATATATATATATATATATATATATATATATATATATATATATATATATATATATATATATATATATATATATATATATATATATATATATATATATATATATATATATATTTTTTTTTTTTTTTTAACAATGAATCTAAAATAAATAAATACAACAGCCATGTTTTTGTCATATAAGTCCTAATGCATTAACGCACCTCTGAGGACAACATGGCTAGAAAGCCGATGGTGCGACACTCCACACTCTCCATCCATAGCAGGGCGTTTCGATTGTACTGCCCTCGAAACTTCACATCAAAAACTCCGACGAAAAACAGGTACACCCCCATAAGGCAGTCTGCACCTGGATGATGGAACACAAACACACACAAACAAGTTCATTTCAGGGCAACTCTCCAGGGTAGGCTAGTGGATGATTATTCCCTTATGCCAGCTGCTGGTTGCTTCCAGCAGAACCAACAAAAATATTCTCATTGAAATTCACTAACGCAACATTACTACTATCCTTGAGAGCAGTAGAGAATAAAAACCTGCTGGGGGAGCCTGCAGCATCTCATATGGATGAAACAAGGTATTTATATTCATTGCATAAAATGTGATATTACCCTGTTTTTCCTCTGTTTAACATTAAAACAGTTTAAGTTTCCTTGGTTTAAGTTTCTGAGAATTCAAAAAGTTACTATGATTTCCCAAAAGAGAATAACATGATAATATCACAAAAATATTATGTGATATTAAACATGAAAATGGCCACAATGTAATGGCTTTATGATCCAAACGGATGAACCGTGAAACTAAGTCTGGATCAAGTTAAAACAAAACTTGGGAATTGTCCAACATTTATAAAGCTCAAGAAGAAGACGGCTATTTCATCCAAGAAGTGGACATTTTATAACATAAGAAATTTGTGAGTACATTTCTGAAAATTTAAAAAGTAAAAATGAAATCTATAAAAAATTATAGCAATATCTTATAATTTAGATGCTAAGCAAAAAAAAAAAAAAAAAAAAAAAAGATCTTTGGACCATTAACAGGAAATGTTTACTTTTATTTTAGATTGCAAGAAGGAAATTAGGATTATCTTCATTAAGAAATATGGTTTCACAGTAACTAATGTGTGAAAGTAAAAGGATGCATAAGAAGTGGAAGGTAAAGATTGGCTATGATTAAATTCTAGATGGCATAAAAGGAGTGGAGGAACAAAATACATGACAGTGAGTGAATGTTAAGGTTATATAGCTGAACTTTGAACAATGGAACAAAAGAATAACACAAAAAGACTTGAAAGGCAGTCAAAAGGAGTTTTAATGAAGTACGTTAGAAAAAAAACCTCCCCAAACACATTCCCACACAGTTAATCTCTCATCTTTGAAGTGCTTGTCACTTTAAAAGGCACAGTCCTACTGATGTATTGAATCACTTTTTTGGAAGGTAACTTCCATTAGCATTTTGATAATTAAGCTAAAAGCTTTAAACCATTTTAATCCTAAAATAATTAGTCAAAGTTGGAAACCAACTCTTGCATATTTATGAATTAGAAAATATAAGTAATGTTACCCTCAAAACACTTAAAATAAAAGACGAAGCTTGGTGTTCTGTTTCATAGAACCAGTAAAAAAACTGAAATGCAGATTAAAAAATTTACTTACATCTCAATTGTAAAAGGGAAAAAGAAAATTGAGTCCTTGAAGCTCTGTTAACTAAAACAAATCACACTTATGTACTAAATAATCAGTTATTCCTTCCCTTAATGGGTTTTTCTCTTCTTAAGAACAAAATGTTTAAGCTCGGAGTTCCACAACATTTTCAACCTTGCAGTTCTAATTCACACAGTCATCAGTTAAACCTGGCCTTTTATTCTTTTTTTGTAAAGGTGGGTGTCTGACTAAAAACTTTAAACACAAAATAAAGGCACCAAGCGGGTCTAAAATAAGGAATAAAGGCTTTTCTGCATTCTGGTTATTGTGGTAAGGTGTTGCTTAAATGTATGTTAAACTCAATGTATTTAGCATGTGTTTTTGTTAAGATGTCATAAGAGCTGGATTCTATCTTGTGTTTATATTTACACATACACATTTCCTCATTACTGTACAGTCACAAAGATATTTCAACCAAAAACAATGTTTTTTTTATGTAATAAACCAACAAAATGTAGTGCATTACAATAAGAACAATAAGAATAAGGAACATAATACATAGTTCTTCTGAAAAGTGTGGTGTGCATGTGTTGTCATCCAACTTTAGTCTAATATCCATTAATGAAATACATCCATTCCGATAAATATTCCTCTTTCAAAAGCTGCATTTGCCAGTCAGTATGCTCTTCGGTCCTTCTCAAACCAAAAAACATTTAAATTAGAGAATAAATGGCGTCATGAAGACCAAGGAGCACAACAAACTAGACAGGGAAAAAGCTGTGGATTTACAAAACATACACAACTACTGTAAGTATAAATACCAGGAATGCACCTAACATGCGTCCAAATAACCATGGCAACTGTGTGATCACACCTGAAGGATATTCATTACAGCCAACTTTACTATTGTGTTGTTGCTTTTTTACCATCTCTTTCTAGAGGTTTACAGACTATTAGGGTGTTATCTATCATTCTTCTTCCTCTCCTCTATTCTTTTCTCCTCTCCCTTATAAGTTTCTACTCAACCTCTCTACCTTCCTTACTTTTTCTTCCTCTGTCTAATGTATATATAGAAAGGATGTTTGGAACTACAGAAAAGGAAAAAAAAAAAAAAAGGAAGGAAGAAAGGAGCAACAGGGAGAATAGTGGGGTATTAAAAGTTAATTTATATCCAGGAAATATGCTGCAAATAAAGGGAAAGACTTGGGAGCACATTGTCAAGCAGATGTGTGATACCCTCTGCTTTGATTAACCAAATGTACAGTGAGAAGCACTAATATGTGTTGCAACCACCAGGAAACGTCTTTAACAATGACTGGGGTTAATGGATGATCATTTAGGGCTGAGGTCTTCAACAGGGAGTCTGCAACCACTAGGGGTACTGCATGGGGGTCGCAAAAGTTTTGGTTGATTAGACTTTTTTTTTTATATTCCCCCCTGCAATTTTTTCCACTAATTGAAATGATTTTAAATACACATTAATATAAATTAAACACACTGTAGTAAACAGATAAATGGAGCCTGAAGATGTCTTTCAGTCATCAATGCTCACGTTCAGCAACACACAGGAGCTCTTTCTAGCTGGGCACCGTTTCATTCACAACACCTGTCCCATCAACCAGGAATCAGAAATACTTTAATAATCCCAGGGAGAAATTACTTTTGTCACTATAGGGCCAGTTGGATATAACACAATTTCATACAATACATATAATTAGAGGGTCCTCCCTCCATCTCGCCATCAGTTTGGGGGTCCTTGGCCTGGAAAACTTTGAAGACCCCTGATTTAGGATATGGCTACAGAAAGTATAATGGAAACTACAAATACTTATATTTATTTAAAGCATTTTCTAGTCTCTAAATAACATTTTTTAAACTGTTTATTAATGTTTCATTATGTCTCTATCAAATATCTATCCTTCCAAGAGGTAAGGCTTTAACTGTCCTGCAGCTTAACCTATGTAATTTTTCGCTAATTGATTGATACATTTTCTGTTTATTTGCTCAAGTACACAGCCTGCAAAAAGCAAGCTCTTCTACGATGAGGTCTACCACAAAAATTATCCCTGTACAATCGAGCAGGTAGCATCCCCTTAATGTACTTTTATTCAGTGAATGGAGCATATACCATGTCATAACAACTTTTTCTATAAAGAGCTGAGTCAAAGTGCTAAGAATAGCAGCAAACCATGAAAACATACATGGAGAGAACAATAAGTGTATGAGTAAGGATTAGGAACAAAAAAAAAACAAATAAAGAAAACAATAAAACCAATCTATAGGAGAACAGGGTCAAATGTTTTGTCACATCTATGTAGAAAAATAAAGAGGCTTTCTGGCCTGCAAGCATCACATGTGCAAAGGTTAACTAACACTGCATTTTACTCTACTACCCCCTATAAGGTACATTGTGTCATGGTGGGAGTCATGTTATACTGTGGATACTTTTCTTTTGAGTTACAGAAAACCTGGTGAGAATAGGTAGGAAGATGAGTGGAACGTTATAGAGGACCATCCGGGAAAAGAGACAGGGATACAGGTTCACTATCAAGCAGAAGATAGACAGGACCAGAGCTAAATTAGAAAACCTCAGATCAAAATATTCTTCTGTTAGAAGAAAGAAGTTAAAGCCCAGACGAAAATCCAATTGAAAACCTGCAAAGCCTTAGGAATTAAAGTTCCAATACACTAAGGATTACAAAAACGAATTTGAGAAAATGTTTTCTCTTCGGATGTTTAACAGAGCTATATAAAGACTTTCAACCTAACCTGTTGCAAAAATTGTCTCTACAAACTTTCTTTTAAACTTGCATTTATTATAACCATTATTACCAAACCTCTAAAACCATGTAATGATTTATGTTTCATTAAATGCTGCAGACATTTTTGTCCCATCTAATCAAGATACAATCATGTCTTAATGATGAACTGAGTCTTGGAACAAACAAACCAAAAAAAAAACAACCAAATAAAATGCTATAATTCAAATAGCTATAATGGGGCGCTTTAAGGATCCTTTTTTCTCAGGGAGTTTTACAGAAAGCATCTCATAACTTAATAACAATAAAAAAGACTCAAGAATGAAAAAGCAAAAAAAACTTTAACCCATATAAATTGAGAAAACTAATTAAAGTATATATTCCTGATTGTCCACACCGGAGTCATAATAAAAGATTGTTTAGATGTATTCATATCTCTTTGACTAGTTTAATATTGCTTATAAATGTAATTTATTGTCATAATAAAATACACGAAAAACATTAAAGTAACAAGGGAGGGCCTCAGTCTGAATCACTGACGAAGATTACAATATAATAAACAAATATGCAGACTCTTAAAACTCTCTCTAAACATGCATTTCCAATGGATATTTTAATTACTCAAATGAATTTATGCACAAAGTTATTTATAGACCATCAGACCTAGAATCTTGATCCACAGGGATTGATTCACTTGCCGGATTTTGTTGCACACTTCCAGTAAGTCACACTTCTGCGTACCTCACAAATTATTTTGAATGCGCTCCTGTGGGAGTAGAGCTTTAGAGAGCTAGGACTGTTTGTCCTTGAGCTCAATTCCCATTATGCTTTCATCCAAGGGTTGATTACTGCGGTGTCACATGCAGTATAAAACAAAATGTAGAAATGGTGCGGTTTCATTCTGTCTGATGCCGCATTTCCCATGAGATCACACTGGGTTTTATAAATGCAGTTAATTATCTTTTATTTGAGTACCTGCTTTTGCTTGTCCTTCCCGATATATACAAATTCCTTAAACAACTTTAAATAACTTGCCATCTTGTTTCTGTTGGTTCGGGAAAAAAAAAAAAAATAAGATACTCTACACTGCAGATGGCAATTTTCCTTTTTAATTCAGTTAATGTAATGCAATTGTAAAAACAATGCTTATTTGTAAAGAATGCTAAAGATTATTTTGAGTATTCTGAAAACTTGCAAGTTAAATTAGTTGAAAAAAAATGTCAGTCAAATCTGCCAAAGCAAATTAAAACACATGAATCTGATTAGACAAATAAATTGCTGCTTTTGTAAACAGGTTATTGCATAGTTCTTAATTCAGCCCTATGTAAAGCACATTTAAATTCCCACATGAAACTTGGAGGGAAGCATGTAGACTGGATGGCTATGTGAAAGCTAAGGGATCACTTGATGAACAGGAGTATTGCAAAAAAAAAAACAAAAAAAACAAACAACTTTTCTAGATATATTTGTATGGGCGATTCCCATTGAAATCAATTAGAATGATAAATATTATGTATTTTGCTTTCTTTTCTGAATTGATTACCAACTGATCTTGATTCAGAGCTGCTTGTATGATTGTTGACAGATTAAAGCATTAGTATACAGATTGTAAAAGCCTGACAGCCTGCATAATAAAAAACGATCCTTCCTACTGTGACACTGATGTTCCATGTCTTAGCCATAGGAGAAAAGTTATGACAAACCAAACTTCTGCCGTACAAAGGAGCATCTGTGACTCACACACAGATCCTCTTTCTTCAATGACCTTTGATGAGCATCAAAAATGAAACAAGATGGGCTGCAAACCATTCAGCCAAAATCTATTTCTCCAAGATTTTATTTATTTATTTTTTTGCTAACAAGGGACATGCATTTAACATGCAGACTACCACAACTGCTTTCTGTGCTTTCTTTTGTATCTAATGTTTTATAGATCTAAATTTTATGTGTTTTTCCAAATGCTTTACATGTCATTATTATACTTTATAAAAAATGTTTGAAATGTGGGAATTATATATGAAAATCCTATCATGAAGTACCATATACTGTGAAACAATAAAAAGAAGAAAAAAAAATGCTTGATAGCAAGCAATAAACAGCTTTAAAATTGGAAAATCGACTAACATATAAATCCTAAGGATATTGTGGTCTGACATCAGTCAAAAAATATATATATCAGATTATATCGGCCTGCATCCTAAATGATCTGATATAAGCAGGCTTTAGAAGAGCTATGCTCCAGCTGTCATGATCTTGGCACTGATGACAGGATTATTGGTTCATTGCTTCCTCCTGCCTAGCTCCACCCAGTTTGTATTACATTTTATCAGATCCATCAGTTCTAGCTTCTACTTAAAGTGTTTGGTCGTAGCCATCAGTGCCAGATTATTGGAGCTATAGGTCAGAGTTCTCTAGCACAGTGTTTTTCAACCCTGGTCCTCAAGGCACACTGCTCTGCATGTTTTGAATGTTTCTGAGCTTCAGCACACCTTATTCAGATGATTGCAGTTCAGCAAATCCTGATAATCTGCTATCAATTGATAACAGGTGTGTGAAAGCTGGGAAACATCTAAAACATGCAGGGCAGTGTTCCTTGAGGACCAGGGTTGAAAAACACTGCTCTAGCCGTTTAACCTCCTAGCTTGCCTGCCCCTGTTTTGTTCTGTTTGCCTGACCCGTCTCTGGACTCCTGCTGGGTTCAGCCTGCTTATAGCCTTGGATCTGTCTCCTGACCCCGGCTTGGATTTCCATATGGTACCACTTCGGATCCCTGGTCTCCCTCATCAGACCAGGGATCCGATGTCATGTCTGGTCGTCAGTCAACTCTGCATCCTTTTGGCGTAGAGAATCATCCGGGTGGATTCCGCTCCTTCCTCTGGGCTCGGACTGAACTTTATAACCAGGTTAGTAACTCACATGCTTGTATCGCCCTCCTTCAAAGTTTCGTGGTCACTAAAGCCAGGCTTACACTGTACAATTTTTTGCTCTTTAAAGGATGTTTCTCGTGCAAGATTTTTTGATCGGGCCAAATTTCGGTGTGATCGTGCGTCATGTAGTGTACAGGGGCTAATGAGGGACAATCAGCCTTTCATGTCCACCTACCGATAAGCAATCATAAGGTCGGGAGAAAATTAAACATGTTTGAAATTCAGTCGTCCCTCGTAAGGTGTTTGTGGGCAAATTGCTCAGTGTGAATGTGCAAACAAGGATTCTTCTTCTTCTTCTTCCTCTCAGACGAAAACACAGAAGTATGACGGTGGTGCAAGGGTCATTGAGTTCTTTCTGTAAAATTAACAGACCGTAATAGCCATGTTTGCTCAGCCATGTCTTTGTCCAAATATGTCGTTGCCTTTTCTTTTTAGGGCTTTCAGCGCAAAATTGCACGAATTGCCAAGGCAGCGCGTTTCTCTCTAGTGAGCTTCATATTGTTCTTCCGGATAGACGAGTCAGAGTATTGCCATCTCACTGCGGAGCTGAGCCCGATGTGGTTTTTAGACGTACAATGTGAGCAGGTAGATTGCCTCAGCGTCAGTCCGCACAGTGTAAGAACATAAATCGTGAGCTATGAACCTTTAAACTCTACGGTTTCATAGAGCAGTGTGAGCTGTCTAAATCCAGAGTCCAAGGTTCTGATTTCAGACACCAGCATTCCACACTACGGGCTGACAGGCTGGGCCCAAGACAACATAGAAGGATATGGCCCCCATCCTTCGATTCATATGTATGTATATATATATATATATATATATATAAAAGAAAGAGGAAACTCCAGGAATTCTAAAAAAAATATGATCAAATTAAAGAATGTCTGTGTATTTTCATTTTATATTAATGATCAAATACCAGTTGGCCATGAACATTTATCTTAATACTTATTTTTCTTGAATGATCAAAATGGAGAAGCTAAAGGGTCAAAATCTAAATTACCAAAGTGTAACTTAGCTGTATTTAAAGTTTTGTTTTTGTCTATATCTGAAAAAAGTTATCTTTTAAAATTACAATATGAGCCTATTAATTGTTTTATATAATACCAGTATGATTTTTAAAACCACTTCCACTCCTTGAAAACTCAGATGTATTCAGAAAATACTAGACAATGAATGATTTTCCTATCAAATTTACTGTGTATTGATGTGCAAATACTCACAGCAGAGGACTTTGATGCAGGCGGCATGCAGGTTGTTCTCTGCACGGATCAATGATCTCATGCCGATGACTAAGAGATTACCAAAGCAGGTAATGAAAGCCATGACCCAAACAGAAACTCGCAGCACCATGTTCGCCAACAGGTCCTCAAAGGAAGAGATGCCATCTGTGTTGGGTTTGCAGGACCTCACGTGTGGGGCATAGGAGCAGTACTGGAACTTCTTAAAATAGCTAATATTGACAAAAGAAAGCAAAAAAAAAAACAAAACTGAAAACATGCATATAATTGAAAATCTAAACAAAACGCTTGTTATTCAGTGTTTTATTAGGATCGTACGTACATGTGGGAGAGGTTCTTCATGGGAAGGAACATTTTTGTCTGAATATCTGGGATTTCAATGCCCTCCACAGCCCTGCATACAAATATCATACCTTAGTAGAGAGCAGGAGGCATACTGTTGGGACTCAATATAATAAACACACAAAATTATCTTTAATAATTTCATAAGCTGCATCAATGTTTTAAAATATGTTTCAGATTGAATACATAATACATATTAGCTTTTGAAGGAGGACTGTTTTCATAGATAAAGGAAATCAATATGTCACTAAAGTAAGATGAGCAGATGCCTGTAATTTCTGAGGACAGCCCTGTTTCTGGGAAATCTGTTTCTGATTAAATCCCAGGTTAAAGTCCAGAAACCTTCCCAATTTTTTAATATTTTATAAATGAGAAAGAATTTTGTTAGCCAGGCTCAACATTTATCACAACAATATTCATGTGTAATTTTAATTGTGTCTCTTATTTAGTATTGTTTTGCGGAAAATAGAGGTAAACTGTAAATAACTGAAAACTACATGACGAAAGAATGATGAAGGGGGAGATATAATCATCTGATTAAATGTACATGAGCTGTTACCAAAAGAACACAATGTATAGATTAGTTTGACATTTTGTCGACTTACAAAACTAGTCAATTCATTATTTTTTAAAGTTGACATTGACATATATATATAATACAATGTAATTAGGAGAATTGTCAGCTCTGATGGATTTATCTGAAACAAAAATCTTATTTCTTTTTTTTTGAAATTTTCATAATTCAATATATTCTAAATGTAAAATGTAAAAAAGGAAATCCTAATTGTATTGTGACCCTGTTGAAGAAAAAAAAGAAGACAAAAGAGAGTTGGAAAACACAAAATGATAGAAAGGAGACTGAATAAAACGATAAAAGTTGAAAGGTTCTGCAAAAGAATATAAGTGAGAAGAAAGAAAAGAAGAGAGTAACGGCAGAGGAAAGTTTGATAGAGAGAGAAATAAAGCTGTCTTATGGAAATATACATCAGTATCCACACCTCCTTCATCATATTTTTAGTACCCTATCATTGTTACTACTACTGTTACTTACACAAGATTTTTATTGCGTAGATATGGGTAAATATGTAAAAATAAAAATGTAATTCTTTTTGATATCAAAGTTTAAATTTGTCCCTGGTTTTAAGATAAATAAATCCATTACATTAAGGATTGTTCAGAAATGCATATTTAAGAGTATATTTCTATACTTACAGAGACTGAAGCTGTGTCAGGCTATTGAAGTGGCTTGGATGAATGCGGAGAAGGGGATTGTAGGATATATTTCTACAAAAAAAGGGTTAGTTGAAAAGTCAATGTGAATTCTAATTGAAAATACAGAAAATATGCAGCCAGTCTGAAAGTGGCCATAAAAGAAAGATGAGGTTCTAAGCCATGTAGTTGGAAGTAATAATGACAGCAATTATCCTAATAATAATGATAATACTAAATAATATTCATAATGCGCTTCATATAAGTAGCTTACCTAAAAGTGTGGGTAATAAAAATGAATGTAATATCTTTATTATAAAAAATGTAAGTTAAATATAACAAAATAACATTTAAGTAGTAGTCTTTGTCTACTATTTTATCCCTGCAATCTTGACATAGACTATGCTCTAAACAGCTGGATTTATCTTCACCAACTTAACTCAACAGCATATTTACCTACGATTCTTCAAAACAAAGTATGCCCCCCCGTTATTTAATGAAAAATAATGCTGCTTTGTGTGAAGCTCGTTAAAATACATTAAGGGAGAAAATAAAAACCCCCATGCCCATGCCGTTAGATGTGATGACTCTCAATAATGAATTTTTATTTTTAGAAACATGACAATATTTAAGTTCAGTCATTTTCCTTTTTTCCATCTCTCCCTCCTTCCTTCCGTCCGTCCGTCCATCCATTTTTAAGGTTTTCAAATATTTTTAGATTTTATATATCTTTGTTTGATTTCCGTTTTAATTGTTTAACTAAAGCTCTTTTCTATTTTTCATTAAAGACACTCGGGTATCTGAGTGTCTGCACTGTTTTGTATACTTTTTCTTCTTATTACTCCTGATAGTTATTTGAAAGTTGTTTTTTTTATTATACCCACTGCTGCTTTGCTCTTATTAATATAATACTGTATTCTTTAATAAAAAAAGAAAAAAACATGTTTATGAACTATAGAGTATTGATTTTAGAGTATTGACTATAGAGTATTGAGAGGCTTTTTATGTCAAATTTACCAGACTGTAATACTATTTTATTATTAAATTAATGAATAATATAATTCTCTTTGATATTCAGTTAACTAACTATAAACAAATTATATCTAAAATATTGTTATTATCTATCCATGACAAACAATTTGGCAAATGTTAAGAAGCTGATTAAATATCTAAATTTTCATGTCTCATGATTTTCCTATCACATAAAAAAAAAAAAAGTCTGTTCTGTTCTACTTGATTTTCCCTTTTTTCTCTCCGGCAGGATTAAACTCTCTGAGTCCTATCTTAAAACCTCCAATTCAAACAGTGACTTCACTACTAATACTCAGGGTCACAATGTTCACATAATAAAGAAGTTCTTAGTCTTTGTAAAATTAGTCACTCACAGTTTCAGGAGGGACTTGGAGAGGCTCTTGAATGTGTTTTTTGGCAGTTCATTGATCCTGTTTCCAGAAAGGTTTCTGAACAGGATTAAAGAGAAAAAAAGGGACAAAGGGAAAATTAGCATATTTCACATATATATAAAGGATTGTGATTCAGTAACAGCAGTAAATAAAATGTATTAATAATTTATCTTTCTTGTTTTTTTCTTACTTTTTCATCACAACTTTACAGCTAGATATACCCACATGGTTTTCTAAATATCGTATAAATAAGATTAGGAAAAGCGTGTCAGGATTTTGATACCATCTAACTGGACTATAATTTGCATAACCACATTTTGGAAGGACAGCTTACAGTCTTTTTGAAATGTACCTCTACTATTTTACAAAATCAAAATATATTTGTCCATTTTTCCTTTTCAAATGGCTTAACCTCAGTAAGATTGCATCGAAACAAACTGTGCATATCAATTTCCAAGTCCTACTTAAATTGAAATTGCAAAAAGTAATTTTTTCTTAAAATAAGAGCATTTTTTCTTGAATTAAGGAGGTAAGTGAGACACTTTGCTAATGGAACAAAAAAAGTTACACTTAAAATAGGAAAAAACAATTGCATTGTCTAATTTCCATTGCATATTATCTAATTATCTTAATTTAATAGTAAAATACTAATTCCATTGGCAGATCATCTTATGTGCCTACTTAAATTAAGGGGAAATACACTTAATTGAGGATTTTTTTTTTTTTTTTTTTTACAAATTTCTAGATTGTTTTTGAAGTGTGCCAAAGATTCCCAGTTGGCTTTCTGCATGGCTTTGACTGGGATATTCTAACACATGTCTACGCTCTGCTCTTATCTATTATCTCACAGCCCTGTCTCCTTGTTTAGGGACACGCTTTTTGAAAATAAACCTCTGTGCTGGATCTCAAGACTTTTAAGGCAGCCAAATGCTCCACTAAAACTAAAACATCTTGACCATGAAGCAAATTAAGTTGTTTTGTTCTCTCAACTCTGTCTTGGGGGTTTTCACTGTTTGTTCTCAATATGTCTAGCCAGAACTTTTTCCTGCAGCATGTCTGAGTCGTACAATTGGTCAGGTTTTGGACCTCTGTTTTATGTAGGAAAAGCAGGATTCCCCCCCCCCCACTTTTGTTTTTCTGTCATAATTTTTTTCAGGTGCCGGAAATCCATACAGTTTAATAGTCTGATGATTGGCTGCTGGAGGTGGTGAAAAAATATGTGAACAAAATATGATCATTTGTATGATTTGTTCTCTACTATAAATAATGTAAAGCATTTTGTTCTACTCCCCGATTAAAAAACATAACATAACATAACAAAAAAAAAAAAAAAACCTTTGCCTTTGTGCTGCTACTGCTGAATATTTGGAGGGAACACAAACTTTGTCCTAGTTTTTGGGACCATGGGAACTGGCCAGTATTTAATGGAGGCCTCCTGGACAGCTGCTTTTAAGCATAACCCATCCTACAAGTATGTTAAAAATGGCAGTAAATACTTCATTTAGTTTAGTAGCAGTGCCTTGAAGGACATCCTGGAATAGCACCCAGCAGCCAGCTGCTATCTGCTTATTGACATTAGGAACTGTGAACGCCACTTCAGGAGTCAGCAGGATGGTTGTCTGGTCCCCTGGAGGTGTTGTTGTTCCTGTGACCGGTCAAGATGTTGAATCCCTCTGCTAGTGCTGGATTAAAACAGGTTGCCTAGATGATGGTTTTTGTAGTGCCATGAACTAGGGCAGTGTTAAAAAATATATCTTAGAAGTCTGAATCAATTCTCCTATTAATATTAATGGTTTTTACCAAAAACAAAGAAACTGTCTTTGAAATTTTCTTTAAATTGAAGCAATAAACAATTAATGGCAACAATTAATTATTTTTAATGGCATTGTTTAAGGATTATATATTCATTTAGCTTTTGACAAATGGCATTGCTATTGTTGTAAAGTTGCAGAATATCTTTGATAAACAACCTAATGAAAGAAAACTATGGAAAAAAAACATTCATCAACCTGATGTAGAAGCAAAGAGCATGAATTTCAGTCTCAAATTAAGTAATTTTTACTTAATTTAGGGGAGCCGGCCTAGTGGTTAGGGCATAGGGCTTGGAATTCTGAAGTTGTGAGTTTGAAACCCACCCTCAGACTTCCACTCTGGCTCTCTGAGCAAGACCCTTAAACCCTGATTGCTACCCGGGGTAAATTTCTCCAATATGAGATCAATCAAGTTTATTTTCTATTATTATTAATTTGAGCACCTGTGTGCACATGTAAATAGTTCCTGTGCACCTAATGGCAAAAACAAAAAGTACTCACAGTTCAGCAAGCTTCCATAGAGACTGGAAGGTGTTTTCAGGGACTCTTGTGATCTTGTTGTCCATGAGTAATCTGAGCAGAACAAATTTGTAGTCAGAAATCATAAAATGCTGTTATGTAATAAAACATGCTGTGCTGGATTCCTACTGTGGCTTTATGAAACCTAACCTACTGTGAATTTGGGAAGCTCTGTGAAAAACAAACTCTCGTTCACCTTAAAAATATGTTCTGCTTTAAAGTTTAACTTTAAATTTAAAGTTTTTGGTAATGAGATTGAGAAATACATACACATGCATTCAACATTGTTATTACAAATACAAAGAAAGGATTAAAAATCAAAATCATCTGCTGTGAAAAACGTTTTGTTAAAAGCTCTAAATGCTTGTTTAGGGCCAATATCCTGCTGCACAGGGTTCACAGAAAGTCGGGTGGAGCTAAAAAAGGGGAAATTCAGGAAGAAAACCTGTTAAAGGGGGCAATATTCTTGAACAAGGAGTGAGGTGGTCAAACCAGCAGGACATTGACCCATTTAAAAATACAACTAATCAGGTATTAAATGTCTTTTCATAAAACTCACATTCTTGTAAGAAAATGTTTAATCGGTCTGATGTCATTATCAAATCCCATAGTTGTGTTTTTGTTAGCTATAAGCAGAAAACATTCATCATTAACTGAAATAAGGACTTGAATCACGCTAAGTATATTAAATACCCATAATGTGTTTTATTTGTTTAATTGTACTACTAAAATAAATGCACTCTGCTTTGCTGTAAACCTATGTAAGCTGATGCTTGAGCCAAAAAGTTGCTGACATTTAGTTATTTACTAATATTTGTTCATCCTGTTTCTTCCTGATTTACTTTTGCACAATCTGCCAAAACCACAGCATGTAGCTGGAAGTGTTTTTCTGCGCACTAAAAAAAGAGGAATATGACAATAATGACTTGGGATGAAAAGAAAAAAACAAATTTGTGTTTATTAGATGTCCATAAATATATCTAACACATGACTGTCAGCTAAGTGGAAGCATTTTTAGGATCCCGAAACACTGGAAATTTTGTCCAGCACAAAACATTTTAAATTGTCACAATCTTTTGATAATCAAGACAGTTTATCCAGTGTCTTAAACAGTTGAGGGCAGTATTTCATTTCTGCATCAAGAGCAGAACAAAACCGTTAAAGTAAGATTGTTTTTGCACAGTGATTGATTTTAGTTTGACCAGCTGAACTTTACTGAAAATGTAATATTTCAATTAGAGCAGCCTGAACTGTCAGCTTATGCAACACAAAACCTGTGTTGTTACAAAAGCTAAGTCTGCATGGGCTCTAACAAATCCAATGTTTTTTTTAGTTTTTTAACTAAACTGTTATATTCAGAGGATGACTACATAACTGCAGTGGAAAGTTATTTTTAACATTCACATGTGGCCAGATTGCTCCTACATTCTGCATAAAAGTTACAAAAGGACAAAAAAAAAAGTGATGCTTCTCCATCATATACTCACAGGACTTCAAGTCTGCTGCATGTCTTCAGGATGGAATAGTTAAGAGTATGAATCTGGTTTCCCTCAAGATCTCTGGGATTAGAGAGAAATACAAGACAAAAAAGAGCTTTTTGTCTGACAGGATATAATGTAGAAGAAAATCTGAACATTGATGTAGGTACAAACATCAGACAAGAAAAACTTTAAACCCTGGTAGATTTAAATAAATATAAGTGTTATAAATGGTGAATGAAAAGAAAGCAACATAACATTCTGGGCATAGAATAATTTATCCAGATCTAGGGGGATTGCACAGGTGTGATGGTATTTTTCTAGATTCAAAGCTTGGGCTTCAACATTTTTACTAACTGCAGAGGTTTAGCAATTTATTTTGACATCAAGCTACAATTGCATCACATCTTACATTACATTTTAAAACATCAGTTTAGGATTGTGATTTTTCAGATTTGTTTAATAAATGCTGTAAAGAATGTTGTATGTAAGAAAATCAGATATATAAAACAGATCCTGTTTGAAATTCTGTAGAGGGTAATCATTGCATTCAATGTCAAAGTAATCAGGAGTAAGAATTAAATCACAATAAATTGACTTTTATATAACTAAATACATAGTTGGCTCATTTACAAAGAATGGGAGGAAATGCAGGTGGTATTAAAGATATTAACAGATAAAACTAGCTGATTATTAGCATACATATCAAGCTATAAATAAGGTTTTCAAGATCATATTTTCAAGGCAAAGCATAATAAGACAAAACAGGATTGGTCCAAGTCCAAAACACTGTAGAACACCTGACATCACTTTGACGAACACTGAATCCACAGCCTACATGTGCAAAATGACATCTGTCTGACAGGAAGAGGTTAGACCAGTTTAAAACACTCCCTATTAAGACAACAGTTTATTTATGTCTTTGCACAAAAATGAGTTCTGGCTTTTTGTAAACATTTCTCAGCTCTAACTGGCCTGGCACAGAAACAAGAAACTGGCCATCGCCAGCAGGGACTAAGATGGTTTCAGCTGCGTAGTTTGCCATAATCATTGTTACTTTATTAATCGATATGTGGATTTGGGAAGTTATAAAGAAAAAATGTAATATTGGTCAGTTATTCCTTAATTCCTAGGATTCAATGAAGTCTTTAGAGAAATGGATTAAAGCCTAAATATTAAAAGAGTCACTTAAAGTAGATCACAAAATAATATTGCGATCACATAATCAGTATCTATGTCATATATATTTCATTAAATCATGTATCCTAGTAAAAAAGTATTTATCTAGTTTTGTGGTGGAAGAACATTTTATTTGCAGTGTATTCCTATTTCATAGGTAAAACAAATCTATCAGGTTACTGACAGGCTTTAGCTGCCTGGAGACCCCTTAAATCCATTTAATTAACCACAAGCAAAACTAGTTCCAAAGTGGACTGCAGTCAACAAATCTCACTATCACATACACTCCGTTTTTGCTTTTCTTATGAGTTTCTCCACTGGTGGGCTTGGCCCTTATATTCCGTTGTATTCTGTCCCATATTGACATGATTGCATCACACAGTGTGCACAGATATGTAAGCCATCCATTAAAATCCTTTGTTTCCTTACATCTCTCATGTGATCTCATCATTGGGATCTGGTGACTGTGGGGTTAATTCTAATGAACCGTACAGTAATCCTATGGTCATGTTAACAAAATGCATCTACATTACTTGAGCCTTTTGACATGGTGTATTATCCCATTGGAAATAGCTATGGACACAGTGGTCACCACCATCAGCTTTAACTGTGACCAAGCAGGATTAATGGAGGCTCTCATCTTGTTTACATTAAAATCTGGCTCCTTCATCTGCATGGTGCAGCTCATTCCACATTTTTCAATCTAATAAGGGTCCTATATCATGCTTTTTAAGCCTTCCATGTTCATCTATAGGCAAATATACTTCAAAATAATGCCTTAAGCCCCATGTTGGTAATATTTTATTGTAAAATATATCTTTTTTTCTTCCAACCATGAAGAAAAACACTTTCCTTCCAAGCAAAGCAGATTCTCCTCATATGGGTGCCATATATTCCATGATGTCATTATATCACATTTTTCCTGAAGGCTGAACATGGTCTGATACTTCTCAAGGCTCCCCAAAAATATTCATAACTTAGATATTAGCTAAAAAAAAAAAAAAAAAGATAGGTTGCGGCCCTACGCAGATTAGCTAATAAAAGAACCACTTTGTCTGAAATTTAAGCTGGAATCATCATGCTCTGCTTTACATATGCCCTCCCTGATCAAAGAAAGTGCGCATTTGTTTACAGTGCAGGCACAGCGGGGCTAATATCAGTGCTTTCAGAGAAGGGGGGGTCTATTCAGACAGCCGAACTAATGAAGATTAAATCAAGATGCTTATATCAAATGAAATACCACTTTGTGCATGATTTTGATTGAGGGATAGCACCATAACAAGGTTAAAAGCTCAAGAATGTTGATTTTGCATGATCAATTATGGTGAACCAGTGTGAACTGCAGCTTAGTTCCCTCTTCTCAGTTGACAGGGTTCGTCAGCTGGGTGCTCTTCTTTGGCTTTTACTTCAAGGTTCAATGTGATTGGATTCTCCATGTTTACGCTGTAAACAGTGGTTATTTAAATCATGTTCTCTTTCTATTATATTCCACCAGTCTGTGCTTTCTCGTCTGACCTCTGACATAACCATAGCTCCTATATTCACATGACTACCATTCAAAGGTTCCTTTTCTGACTGTCCCCCCAGTAAATTAGTAGTTTATGAAATACTCTTACCAGCCTATCTGAAAACAACAACCGTGCCTTGTCCAAAGTCACGTAAATCCTCTTTTCCCCAATTTCCCAAATGGGTTAAACATTAGCACGTTGTTCTCACCACTTCTCAATGCCTAATAGCATCAACTGAGTTGCTGCTTTGAAATAGCTTATTCTTGCTAACAGGTAATTGAAAAGCCAAATAGAATAAAGTGGCCAGTGAGTGTAACTCTGCTTGTATCACCAGGGAACGAGCAGGTTGCTTTTAAACAACAAAACCAGTCAAAGCACCCAAAACCTAAAAAAACTGTCACAATCATCCAGCTCCCAAAGCAAGCACGTCAGCAAAGAAGGTGACTTCAAAGTTCCTCAGGGTTTTTCTAACAAATAAAGCGTGCCAAAAGCTAAGCAACCAGACACTGTTAGCGTTAAAGTCGTAGGAAAGCGGCTGTTCCAAACTTTGCAGTTTCGAATTCTCCCGAGTGGTGTCCGACTTTACACAAGTGAATAAAGTGAATGTGATTGGTCGTTTATCAAGGGGGCGGGATTGTTGTGGCAGAAGGTTCGCAAGCAAGGTTGGTTGTGGACAATTTATCGGAGGCATCTTGATAACCAGTTAGCAGCTTAGTGCTAGTAGGTTCCCAATGGGAAATTACTTTGGTACCATGTTGCACTTAGCAACGGCACTTTTAAGGACTTCTATGGACGGCAAAAACATGCAAGAGGACAGTTTTGTGTAGGAGTTCGTGGATGAGTCTCCTCCGTCATACATTCTTTATTTAGAGAAGGAAAGTGGTGATGAAGATGTTGTGGAAGAGGACGCCAGGGCAGCAGAAGCTTGGTTTGGTGTAGAAGGCTTACAGCCGTACAAGTTTGAGCCCTTGCCTCGCAACGCTGCCAGTTATGTTAGCTCTACACCTGCCGAAGACACATACGTCCTTCCTAATGAACACTGGGATGTAAATTTTAATTGTTGCGTATATTAGCACATTAGTACAAATGAATCTTGATGCTATGACTGAAAAAAAAATGACTGACAGATGACATTTGATATATGATTGGCCAAATTTCGGTGTACAAGCTGACATATAACTAACTGGCCTGCATAAAATGACGAAAAAAATCCCCACAGATTTTAATTTTTTTTTTAAATACAAATTTTCCAACTTTTGGGACAATATGGGCTGAAACAGAGTACATTTTTATATATGTTTAAGCCAGAATGATTTGACATTTAAATATGACTTCCCTACGACTTTAAACCTTTCCTATGAAATAAACGTTTTAATCGGAAAAGGAGTAAATAAAAAAAATGAAGGTGCTTCTGAAGCAGGATAACAGTTGTTAGCACTTACAAGCCTCATTGAATCGTCGTTATTGCCCTCAGAGATGCAGTCAAACAGCATGAAAACAAGAATATCTGGACTTGTGAAATGGATTAGAGTGTTGAAGGCAGCGGGATACGTGTTCTGGAGATTACTTGTGTTGAGACTGCTATTTTTAACAAGTGCACTAGATAACAAGTGATAAGAATCTGCCAGTATAACAACTGCCTAGTGATCTGTGGATTCGTATGTCACAGTAGTCTGGATTTTCTTTCTTTATGAAGATACGCCTTATCAGAGAGAGATCAGAAATAATTCATTTGAACAGGTGTGAGCTTGAGTTTAATTTAAATTCGATTTCATACTATAAATGTTCTAATCCAAAAGAAAATGAAAGCCTGGGGGTTTTCTATAGTCTGCTCCAGTAATTCAGACAAAAAAGCTACAGACAACATGAGGTCACAGTGGATTTTGAGGCTCATGCTGCATCTCCTGCGGCTGGTCAAGCTGACCGACCACTGTGACATTAGCTGAAGGTGCCCATCAATAAAAAACCTCTCTCTGCATCCTTTTTAATATGTGCTTATGTTCACTCACGTGCACACAATAAAAAGACACTCACTCTCCCCTTTGAGCATACAAACATCAACCGAATCCCACACTACACACCTGCATACAAACAAGTACACTGTCAGAGCAGACTCACAGCCAGTCCAGGGCAGGCATGTGTTGACAGAAGCTGGGATGAGGGAGCTGCTGCAGCGAAGTGCGCACCATCGATCTGAGGAGAGAAAGGGGACATTTCACAGCACAGAGATTAGACTTTACACGGTGAGAGCAGCTGCTTTGATCACTGTGACTTGCAACTTGAACATCCTTTTCTTACACTGGTTGTACTCCAGCCTCTAAGTGGAGAGGGTAGAATGACTCAGACTGAGGTCAAACGAAATTCACAGCGAAATAAACTCTAGTGAATACTTTATGAGCCCAGAAAATGAAACTTGCTTTTTTTGTTTGTTTGTTTCATGCACTTTCTTCTGACTGAATATACTTTGATATATGATCATTGTAGAAAAGAAGGGCAGGTTTGCCTTTAATATTTAAGCAACCTATGCAAAACAAAAGACTATAAGACATCCGAGTATTCAGTGTTGAATGCTGGTGCCCACTAGGCGTGAACAAGTTTTTATGGTATATATAATTTTACAAATTATTATATCCCACAGAGTTCTCAGAAGACATTCAATTTCCTTATGTTTTCAGTTTGCAGGTAAAAAACTAAACAAAACAAGAAGCATAACAACAGAAAAAGTCGACTCTATATTAAAAATGTGTTTTTTACTTGAAACTCCAAAAAAAATGAATCACACAGATTAGGGTGACATACTTCTCCGTTTTGGTAACATTTTGTCTACTTGATGATATTCCCACACTGCAGCTAGTTGGACTTTATCTAATCTATCGTGCCAGAACTGTTGTTTTCTGACCTACCTTTTGCAGTGGATTCTAAATGGCTCATCCACTGTAGCACCCTCATGAAAACATTAAAACATCCTCCCACGGTTGCTTTATAAAATCACTCTCTTCTTTGCTTGTCACCATTTTATGATTCCGCCTCTTCTTAGTCAACAAGTTTATGACTTTCTCTCCACAGTCCTTGCCCTTGCAGCTTCATTTCTATCATTTCTAGCAGAAGGTGTAAAGGCTATAGACAGAAGAACAAAAACACCTTTAATCTGTTTGGAGATAGTCGTCAGTAAGAAGGAGGAGGAGTATTATGATTTGCCAGCAACTTATCAATATTAGAGGATCACATGTAAATATTTGCTTTGGTCAGATTAAAAAAAAAAAAAAAAAAAAAAGACCCCCAGGAGCCTTGAATTTTGCAGATACAGATAATTAATGCACTATTGATTATGTGCCGTCCATCAGCTTAAAAATTCCTCATACTTTAGGTGGCAACACTTCAGAGGTAATGAGAGTTTTAGAAAGAAACAAAACCCCATCTGGTCCTTTCTAGCGTAGTCCTCACCGGGGACCGACAAACACCCTTTGAAGAGGCGCTGAGAATCAGAACACTTATGAGTTCAAGCATCAAGCCTGAGTTTTAGACGGACACATGCTGTGATGTATCCGAGCGGTGAACATACCCCAGAAAGAAAAAACAAACAAGGACAAAAACAAGTCTCATCCAGAAAGCAGAAAACAACTGTAAGCAATTTTCCAAAGTCAGTCAAAGTCAGATATGCTTCTAGTAAAATTCAAGGTGTCTAATGCTGAAAAATTTACTTGATGGGTGGATTAGATATTAAAATGCAGGAAAAATATAAGAAATCATATCTAATACTAGTTATACTTCAGCTATAGCATCAAGGTGTTACTTTATTGTATCTCTTATACTATATCCTTTGGTTGTGCTGTTCTTTTTATATCTCTTTGCATGTGATGAAGCAGACTGAAGATGTTTTATCGTTATCTCCCTTTTGTCTCCTCTTTCTTTTATCTTTTCTCCCTTTTTTCTGTTTTTCCTTTCCTGTTCTACTAACATTATAATGACCATATAATCTGTAATACTCGGTTCATGAAGTATAATAAAGCTGTAAATATGCATAAATCAAGTAGAACTCTATGGCCATACCCGTACTGCTTCACTTGTTAAAGTAAAATCTGTTGGGCTCTTTTTGGCATCAAGACAATTATTCTTATTGCCACATTGCCAGACAGGACACTGGTAAAAAAGAAAGAAAGAAAAAAAAGAGATCACATCTAAAATACATAAAAAGAACAAGGTAAACAGTACCCACATTCTCATACATATTGAGAATGTAAGGAGAAGGATTTCCATTTTTAACGAATAAGATTGAATTCGGATCTACCTAGTCATCTAAGAAAAGCTTGAAAATGATTTGCCCCTTCAATTAAGAATATTTCTTTGCAAAGTAGCTTAAGTTCAGGCAGATTATCTGGATAAAGAAGATCAGTGGACAGAAAATTTAAAATCTCAGTCCTTGTTGAAGATGATCAGTTTGATTGGCCTGAATTAGAGCCTTGGATCAACGTCCATTTGTTTTCCTATCACCTCTAACCCAATGATATGCAAGGACAAAATAAATCAGTGTTAGTCTAATCTGACTAGAACATCCTGTCCATCCTGCATGCTGTGTCTCTAGGGCTTGTGACAAACTGAAAAAAAAGAAAGTTGGATCACATTTTCTTAAAATGTGACTTACTTATTGAGGACCACGGCAATCTGTGATGTTATTTTCCTCATTGCCTGCGTAACAATGAGCCGTTGTTAATGTATATTGAATAAAGATAACAGTTGAACACAGATACTGGTTTTGTAGATTAGTTTGTTTTTGTTGGGATCCTCAGGCTTGCCCACCAGAGGGCGCCGAGGATCCTTTTCTGCTCTCTTTGTTTTTCCCTTAGGGTTGGAGTTACTGTGGGGATCTGGAGATTACCCTCTGTCTCCAGCAGGATGCGCTGTTGGTCTTCTGGAGCTGGAACCTTCCTGCACACCTGTTCCTAATCCTCTTATCAGAAGACCTCAGTATTTTAGCTGCCTTCAGACCTTGATTCCACGCCGCAGTGTTGATCTTAGTTGGTTAGCTTCCTGAACCTTCTGCTATGAACTGAGTCTTGGTTGTTCCTAGGTTGAGACCAGATTCTAATCTCTCCTTATCTGTGCCTCACAGGAATCCTGTCTCCTCGTGAAGCTCTGGACGAGCTTAATCTCCTGTCTCCTCGTGAAGCTCTGGATGAGCTTAACCTCCTGTCTCCTTGTGAAGCTCAGGAAGAGCACCCTCACTGGAACCCAGTCTCTGGTCTGCAGCTCTGGAGGAGCTGCATCTCAGGAAACCAGTCTCAAGCCTGAAGCTCTTTGAAAGCCTAGCCAGCTAATCTGCCCTGGTGAGCCAAGCCGAAGATTTCTACATGGATGAAACCTGACAACTTCTCTGTGGAGTTTCCCTGGAGGTTCCCATGTAGATCTTCCCCTGTTGTTCCCTGCTGTGAGCTGGAAGCTCAAATCCAGCCTTCTCTCTTTCCCTGCACAGACCCCTGTGAACCAGCCCCCTGCCTGAACTGTTTCAATTTATTATCCATGTGCTTGTCTTAAAATAAACTCCTTGGACTTTTACCAGTGCCTCCGTGTGTGTTCTGCATCTTGGGCTTTACTCTAAGAAAACCCATCATGACAGTTTTGGTGCAGTTGATTAGTGCGCACAGGACTCCACCATTGGAGAATTAAAGAAGGGGGAGTTTAATCTCATGTATGTTGTTTGTGCTCCTTCATTAGCTGTTCATTTATTTTATTTTTTTCTTGTTATATTGCAGCTGTATATCCTTTTATAAGGGTTTCTTCCAATTTAGTTCAACTCTATATAAGAAACATGTTTGCCATTGTCCTGTGTTGGTGGGGTTTGGTTGATTTGCTGCACCAGAAAAAAAAATAAAGACATTGCAGTGGAAAACTCTTTGGAGCATGTTTTTCTTTCAACCGGATTGGGTCCCACCTCCAAGACTGCTTGGCCTCCTGTCGAGCATTCAACAGCCTGGCTGGTCAGCTTAAAGGACACTTGTTGTGGTTGCTCATGCTATAAGAACAGTTTCTTCCCATCTGCTATCAGCCTTATCAACATGGCCTAGAGACCACAGGGACACTGACACTGTCTCTCTCTCACCCCAGTTCAGGACCACAGAAACTAATCCAACGTAGCATCTCCAGACCTCCTGTGTGACATTTAAGGTCTCCAGAGATAAATTTCTCCAATGTTAGATCAATAAAATTTAATTACTGTGTATACAGAAAATAGCTATATACAGTATGATTGTATGTTTTATATTGTATATAGCTATAGATTCTGAATATATATATATATTTGGCTGCACCAAGTCAAATTCCTTGTAAGTGCAAAACTACTTGGCAATAAACTTGATTCTGATTCTGGTTTTAGCAGTTGTGCAAAATAGGTGGCTTTTATTATTTAGTTGTATTCGAGTACATGGGAAGAGACTCTTAAAAACATGCATACTTTTACCTCCACTGAACAATCATCTGCAGATGTCAGTCTAGCCTTTAAATTCCAAAAAGAATACATCACAGTCTGAGATTATAGGATGACAAAACATCAAAGATTTCAAAGGAGATACTAAAATCTTTTCAGCCAGTTTACCAAGACAGATGGCACACACATCATCTTCCCCCAAACATCCAGATGAGCCATCAGGAAGTGTTGAACCTCTTGAATCCAGCTATCTACTCAGCAATGTATCATGTACACCATAGAGATTAATCTCAGTGAAAAAGCGAAGTGATATAAAAGATAATTAAACAGAAAATGAACTTATCACATGCGTTTACTGTTGCTTTTAGATTAAAAGGGGATTTCTTATTTTACATTTCAGACCCCCAGCTAATGAATATATGCTGGCTTCAGTTTTTGTTGTTTGTTTAAACTTAAACAAAAATCACCAAGATGGCTTTCATAAAGCTGGATGAGGTATAAAAGAAAATTAAAGAAAGTCTTTATAAAAGTGGGGATTCGTTTACCCACCAGCAGTCAAGAAAACTTTGGCAATGTAGCTAAACTCCCATGATCCTTTGCAAACACAGAGGCTTATTACATCTTCATCTCTGTTTGTGTGATCTGATGACATCTATGCCAGAAATCTTCAATCTCTTATTAAATCAGAGGCCTTATTCAGTTCTGTGACATCCGATTAGCCTTATGGGATGTTAACCTCTACAAGAATAAGTCTTTGGCTGAATAAAATAAATATAATTAAAAAACAGCGAACATTTATGGAAAAATTACATCTTCCTGTCACGATCCACACTGTCAACATTTCAATTATTTGCACTCCCTTTTTTTCTGTTAATCCCTGTTGTATTTAAATTGTTTTTTCAGTCTATTCCCTCATTGTCTGGTCCTATGTTTATTTTCCCATGCTGTTACCTTTGTCCCTTGTATCCAGTAAGTTTATCCCTATTCGCTAAGAATATATCCTTTTTCAAAATGCACCTGCCAATATCCTTTTGAACCTTAGGTCCTTTGCCACCAAAATTCATCACACTCTCCTGCATGATTTATGCTTTAAAACTGACAGTATTTATATAAAAAAAAATGTTTAAGCTACACCAACAAAAGATTGCATTGCAAGTTATGAGTGAAAGGATCATTAATAATCTAAAAAGCATCTGTGTTTAGAAACCAGCAAAAACAACTGACTCATTGATTGGACTTTTAATTTACTATGCCCCAAAGTCCTAAAGATAACATCTCGACATGCTTTGGATTTTGTGTCAAGTTCAGTGCCTCAAAATGTTTATTTCTGCTCTCAAACCTTTATATAAACCTGCAAAATGTCCTAGTGGATTTCTAAATATCCATTGGAGACCTTAGGTAGACCTAGAAATATAGAATTTAATTTTGCTTACAGTAATAGTCTTGTGCTGGGAAAAATGTAGCCAATTAAAATCTGCTTTTAGTCTCCAGGTAGAGCCTTGAACAGTTGGCGTTCTGGATCCTTCTAACCCTGACTGTTAAATAAAATGCTTGCACAATTTGATCAGCGCATCAATTATGTTTTAAACCATAGTCTGTGGATGTTTTCTTTATAGTCAAAGGGGGAATTGTGCTGCTTTGATTATAGCTTTTGGAGAACAATTAAAAGGGTTGCACTTTGGAAGTATCAGTAGTTTACACCTGTCATTTAGCGCCTTAACAGACTTTGCACAGAACATACCGAAGTGAGGAAAGGCGGAACAGATTAACGGGTTTTACCTTTCAGAGGTGCAAATGATTTTAAATATAACAGAGTCAAAAAGCTTCCATGTGATCTGTGCTTTGGAAGCTCTGAATCAGCTGTGTTAGCACTATATGTTAATATAATAACTACAAAGGACATAAAATGAAGATCAAAGAAACAGGTGTAATTGTGTATGGGGGTGTGTGTACTGTATGGGGGATTGTTGGTCTAGTGGTTACAGCAGTGTGCTTGTGCTCTGAGAAGGTTGCAAGTATCCGGTTTGTGCCATGCATTGCTCCCTGCGTGCCACCCTATGGCAGCCCACTGCTTCCCAAGGGGATGGGCTAAAATGCAGAGAGTGAATTGCCCCATTGTGGGACAATAAAGAGGTTTACATTACATATAAAAAGAAAGGGCGGTTATATTTTATAACAATCACGTGTTATAACAACCCATCTTACCAGATCACTACTGAATGTGTTTTTTTTCTTCTGATTATTAGACAAACAATAGATGGACTCACAGAAATACTAGAGAACGGAGTCCAAAGAAGGTCTCATGGGTCAAGCTGTTAACCGGGTTATGGTCCAATATCCTGGTAAGAAAAAAAGGAACACATTATATGTATTTATTTTCATGCATGTATTAAAACAACACACATATGCATAATGCTAGAGTATTACTTTGTTATGTATGTGTCTTTAAAGACTGATAAACTTCAATGACAACACATTCTTTAAACAAAGGCTCGGCTGCAATGGTTTTGGCAAACCCTTTGTAGATAAAACTGCTTTAACATGTTTTACAAAGAAGTCAAAAAAGTCTCAGGTCTCCCTAATGGGGAGTTTGAACCACTCTTCCTACAGACCATTTGCAAAGCTTGACATTGGTATAGATAAAAAAAAAAAGTCTCCACTTCTAAGTATGGGTTCAAAATTCTGGCAGAGTTCTGATGCAATACTATGGCGTCAAGATTCTGCCAAAAGTGCACACAGTAGTAAAAACTCCTAAGAGCAGCTTTACCTCATACACACTCATAAACTACTCATTACATGTTTAATTTATTACATGTATAATAATAATAATGTACCACAAGGCCACAATATACAGTGGGGACTGGTTGGAAATGGACGGTTTCCTGCGTGATTCCTGTGTGATTCCCACGTGAATCACGTTGTATTTCCTGAGGCCAGTTTTTTTATTTCAAAAAGAACTGCAATGTACCCGGACAACCACCAGGTGGCGCTTGGGACCTCTGCCGTGCTGAGGGTGACGTTTGTGGGCCTGCAGTCAACTGAAAAGCAGGTTTATTGGGGATCTTGGTGTGATACTGTGCTATTTTATTTTGTTTTTGATTAAAATAAAGTTAATGAATTAATTTAACATAAGATTATGCAGTCAAGTGACTGCATAATCTTATTTTATGAAAATGGTTGCGTAGTTATAGATACACCTCCGATCTTATCTGAGAACTGTTATTTCTATTTATCTGCATCGCTATTATTTAATGAAAAATAAAATTAATTAAGTTGGAGCCGGGGATACGGACTGTAGCGCAACCAGAGAAAGGCGACAGAGACAGTGCTGCGGCTGGTGATGTTGAAATTAAAATCATATCCAAAGTTGATTCCTCATTAAGATAAGCCAAAGTTATTCAAAAGGGTATGTAAGAAAATATATTTTCTTTAGTTTTGTAAAATATAAGTGCCGTTGAAAGCTTTGTTTTTGTGTGTTACTTTCTTGCCGTGCAATACGTGACACCCCTCCCAGTCTGGTCAAGTAGCAGACTGGGAGGGCTGTCACCTGTTGCGAACTTATAGCGTAGTGGTTAAGCTGAGTCGGTGTAGACTAACAGCTTGTGGGTTCAATCCCAACTGTGGCCGAGTTGCCTTAAATTTTTTTTTTTTTTATTTTTTATAAAGTAATGAAAGTTAGAATGAAACCAGGTTTTCTATTTTTGAAACAACAATTGGAGTTATTCGTTGGACATTCACGCATGAGCCTGTATAAAAAGAGGAGCTGACCAGCTCCTTTAGTCAGAGACTTGCAGTAGACACCGTGTCTGTACGTTTGTGGCCCTGCAGTCAACTGAAAAGCAGGTTTATCGGGGATCTTGGTGTGATATTGTTCTATTTTATTTTGTTTTTGATTAAAATAAAGTTAATGAATTAATTTAACATAAGATTATGCAGTCAAGTGACTGCATAATCTTATTTTATGAAAATGGTTGCGTAGTTATAGATACACCTCCGATCTTATCTGAGAACTGTTATTTCTATTTATCTGCATCGCTATTATTTAATGAAAAATAAAATTAATTAAGTTGGAGCCGGGGATACGGACTGTAGCGCAACCAGAGAAAGGCGACAGAGACAGTGCTGCGGCTGGTGATGTTGAAATTAAAATCATATCCAAAGTTGATTCCTCATTAAGATAAGCCAAAGTTATTCAAAAGGGTATGTAAGAAAATATATTTTCTTTAGTTTTGTAAAATATAAGTGCCGTTGAAAGCTTTGTTTTTGTGTGTTACTTTCTTGCCGTGCAATACGTGACACCCCTCCCAGTCTGGTCAAGTAGCAGACTGGGAGGGCTGTCACCTGTTGCGAACTTATAGCGCAGTGGTTAAGCTGAGTGGTGTGTAGGCTAACAGCTTGTGGGTTCAATCCCAACTGTGGCCGAGTTGCCTTAAATTTTTTTTTTTTTTTTTATATAAAGTAATGAAACTTAGAATGAAACCAGGTTTTCTATTTTTGAAACAACAATTGGAGTTATTCGTTGGACATTCACGCATGAGTCTCCCATGTATAAAAAGAGGAGCTGAGCAGCTCCTTTAGTCAGAGACTTAAAGTAGACACCATGTCTGTAAGAAGGAGCGCTACCGCAGGTCATTCGTTCCTGCTGCCAGCAGACTCTATAATAATGCACTATATCAACAATAACTCCTGTAAAAACCACTGCAGCTACATTATAGTTTTGTATTTATTGAACAATATGCCGTGCAATATGTTGAATGTGCAATATTTCTCCTCCTGTATATAAGCCATCCATATTGCACATATCGTTATTTCTTTTTTTTTTATTTCCTATTGTTTTGTTTTTCATTGTGTGCCATACATGTACACATGCACCTTAATCCTATTTATCTTGATATACTGTATATACCTGGATATACTGTATATATATTGCTTATTCTTAATGCACCTTTTTCCTCCCTGTTTGCACCTCCAGTAACTTCTATGCCAATATGTGACGAGTGAATTTCTCCGCTGTGAGATCAATAAAGCTCATCTAATCACATCTACTCCAATCTAAATAAATAAATAAATATACACATGTTCAATAAATAAATAAGCATTCAATTAATTACCCCCAATAAATGGTGAAATGATATGTTCTCATAATAAATCATTTATTTAAAAAATGCTGTTATGTTCCTTTTTTTTTAAATTCCTTTTAAAATGCTTAACTATTTTTATTCTTTTATTTTCTTTCAAAAAATCACTAGATTTTAAAAACACTCATAGGTTTTGAAAGGTATTATATATATATAGAAACTAAAACGCTCTGATCTTTCTGTCATTTTGTGTGCGTGTGAAGCATCTGCAATGTTTTCGTTAAATATTCAAATAAATAAGATGGACTTTAAACTAGCAGACACGTTTGGATTTTTGCCATTTAATTTTTTTATTTAATTTTAAAAACGAAAGAAATGGAAATGGGGTTTTTATGTCATGATCTTGGCGCTGATGGTTTGGTTTTTTCCTCTGCTTCTTGCTCCCTGTCTCCCTGGTTCTGCGGTTCTAATCTGATTGTTTGCCTCCCATCAGCGCCAGGTTATTTGTGTGTTTTGGTGAGACGTTTCCTAGCTTTCTTTAGTCTGTCTGCTTCCCTGATTATGACCAGTTTTCTGTCCTGTGGATCAGCAGTCAACTGAAAAGCAGGTTTATTGGGGATCTTGGTGTGATATTGTTCAATTTTATTTTGTTTTTGATTAAAATAAAGTTAATGAATTAATTTAACATACTGTAGGGACTGCATAATCTTATTTTATGAAAATATTTATAGATAGATTGATAGTAGTTATAGGTACACCTCCGATCTTATCTGATAACTGTTATTTCTATTTATCTGCATCTCTATTATTTAATGAAAAATAAAATTAATTAAGTTGGAGCCGGGGATACGGACTGAGGCGCAACCAGAGAAAGGCGACAGAGACAGTGCTGCGGCTGGTGATGTTGAAATTAAAATCATATCCAAAGTTGATTCCTCATTAAGATAAGCCAAAGTTATTCAAAAGGGTATGTAAGAAAATATATTTTCTTTAGTTTTGTAAAATATATGTGCCGTTGAAAGCTTTTTTTTTATCCTTGATTATTAATCAGGCTGCTCCAGCTGCCCCGCCCCTGACAGCTGCCGCGCCGTAGTCTGCTACTGATAGTCCAGCTTCTCTTGAACCGCGTCTGTAGAGCCTTCCTGACTCAGTGCGAAATTCATTTTGAATTACAGCCCTCTGCGTTTCCTTCTGATCGAGCCAAGGTGGCCTATGTAATCTCTCTGTTAGCGGGAAAGGCCAAATTATCGGGAACGTCAGAGTGGTTGAATAATCCTGAACTCTGCAGCTCTTATAATAATTTTTCTTTGGAAATAATCAGAGTTTTTTGCCCAGTATTCTCCTATCCCTGCAGAGATCTGCCCTGCAGCAGACGAGCAGCCCCGCGCACCTGTTGGTGTTTAATAAACGTTTTAAACTTTCCCACTGCCTGTCTCGCCTCCAATTCTGGGTCCAATATTCTCATTATTATCATTACATTTTTACAGGTTTGCTTAAAAAGATTTATATAGTAGCCCATAATATAATAGTGAAACATAAAGTCAGGAAAATGTCTCATAGAAAATGTTTTTTATTTGCATTTCAAATCAATATATTACTGATAGCAAATGACATGTATCTCTTGGCCCTGGGAATATTACATGCCAGTCGCTGCTCCATTCAAGGCTACAACCTCATCGTTGTCTTGGAAAAACCGATGTGTAGACATTTACCCTCTTGTTCTCTGACAATAGAGTTCAAGCGCCGCTATAGTAGTAGCGGCATTCTTGCATTAAGTGGTTTGCTTAATTAATTGGTGATGTTTAGAACAGGATGACATAGAGGAACCCATTATATCCAGATTACGTTCTGGTCATACGTGGTTAAATAGTACATGATTTAAAATGGGAATAAACCGGATTAGCTCACTAACTTGCGCGTTGATCACATAACTGTGTTTTTCTCTCCAAAACACACAACTGCACCGCAGGCTTTGGAAGAAAAATCCAATCCATCACGGCGGGGCGGTGCTGATCCCCGCAATATTAACCCTTCATTTCGTATTGATGATTAAAAGTATTTATAACTACATTATTTTACAGTACAGTACAGTAGTTAACATTTATACAGTACTTTTATTTGTTAAACAAATGCTTGGGCCTGTATAAAGTTTTTATTCCCTGATTTCAATGTTGTAAGGAGTATTTCATCGTATGATAACTCTAAAAAAAAAAAAAAAGGTTTCTACTTCACGTATTTCACCTATCGCTGGTTCTTTTTGGAATGTAACCTCCGCGATAAACGAGGGTTCACTGTATTTAAAATGGAAATACTCCGGATTAGCTCACTGATTTTTGGGTGGGTCACAGCCATCCCTGACAACAGTTTAGAAACGCCGCTATTCATCGCGGCAGCAAGCAGCATTCTTGCATAATGTGCCTAAAAAGCCTGGGGGGTTGGGCCTTTCATGCTTGTTGTAAGGCATCATAGCGTCCTTTTCCAGATCAAACTGAAAATTTTACCAGCTAGATGATAATAAAAATAACAAAAATAGTATAACAATACGCCTATTATTATCAGAGTAAGATATTGAGGCTGTAGAATGATAATCTCTATGGTCTAATGAAATTCCTTGGAAAGATGGAGCGCACATCAGCTGATCTAAATAAAAGAAAGATGCCATAAAGTCAAACAGCATAATAGGCTACTATCCGTAATATATATAAATAAGTTAAAGAAGTTATTGTACAAACACACAAAAACAATGTAACACACAAAAACAAAGCTTTCAACGGCACATATATTTTACAAAACTAAAGAAAATATATTTTCCTACATACCCTTTTGAATAACTTTGGCTTATCTTAATGAGGAATCAACTTTGGATATGATTTTAATTTCAACATCACCAGCCGCAGCACTGTCTCTGTCGCCTTTCTCTGGTTGCGCTACAGTCCGTATCCCCGGCTCCAACTTAATTAATTTTATTTTTCATTAAATAATAGCGATGCAGATAAATAGAAATAACAGTTCTCAGATAAGATCGGAGGTGTATCTATAACTACTATTAATCTATCTATAAATATTTTCATGAAATAAGATTATGCAGTCCCAATGTTAAATTAATTCATTAACTTTATTTTAATCAAAAACAAAATAAAATAGAACAATATCACACCAAGATCCCCGATAAACCTGCTTTTCAGTTGACTGCAGGGCCACAAACGTACAGACACGGTGTCTACTGCAAGTCTCTGACTAAAGGAGCTGGTCAGCTCCTCTTTTTATACAGGCTCATGCGTGAATGTCCAACGAATAACTCCAATTGTTGTTTCAAAAATAGAAAACCTGGTTTCATTACTTTACATTCTAACTTGCATTACTTTGTAAAAAAGCGATAATAATTATAATAAAAAAAAAAAAAAACATTTAAGGCAACTCGGCCACAGCTGGGATTGAACCCAGTCTGTTGAACCAAAGACCACTCAGCTTAACCTCTGCGCTACACACTCGCAATACGTGACACCCCTTCCAGTCTGCTACTCGACCTATGTAATTCTGACTCATGGGACGCCGAAATGGAGTCAGACTGCCACCTAGTGGCTATAGTAGTCACATGTTTTTCACACAATACGTGAAACACGCGGAGCGTGAGTGAAGTGTCCATTTCCAATCAGCGCCCACTGTATCACACAATGAGTGCTTTATCCTTTTTTCTATGTCGTTGATTTCCACACTTGCTCATCAGTCTCCCTCCATCTTATGTGTGGACCTGTTTCTGCTCGCTTCTATCAACTTTTGTCACTTTGAAGGCGTTACCCACCACACAAACCAACAAGCCTGTGGTTGGCTATTTTTTAGTAATTCCTGCATCTTGAGTTGTGACATGTTGCTAAGGCAACCAGTGTAAACTGTCTTCCCATGTCCAGATAAAGTTTGAGCTAGCAGAAACTATCAGGATATTTTGCCAGATGTTCCAGCAGTTATACAGTCCATGTTATATTAAGATGACTTTGCTTAGCAGCTCCTGAAGGGAAATGGTTAGGCTGAAGTTGCTTTGCTTGTAGGACGAAGAGCACAGCCAAAAGAGGCAGGATTTCCTGAAAAGTTGCCAATCATAGACAAAGCAATAAAAGTTGACATGAACTGCACAGAAACAGGTCCACACACTGGTAGGATAGAATCTATAGAAAAATAAAAGGCTCACCACAAGCGCAGAAAAGAAGCTTGCCCTAATGAGTGTGCTATATTTGGGGCTTCATAGTATACAATCTGCACTCATAGAAGATTGAAATTGTTGATGGATAGTACTTTAGATGTATTTGTTTAAAAAAAAAAACTTTATCATTTGAGTATTTATCACACGTATGGACCTTTGGCAGAATTCTGATGAATTATTATTCATTCCAATAATTCACCGTCAAACATACTCATCCATGTGGTTATTTATATATTTACCTTATCCCACTTTTGTAACAAAGACAAAAACCCAGTCAGGGTTATTGTGAGAAATATTCAGGGGTGTTACTTGTATGTATTTGGGTCAGACTTGGATCCCAAAGGTTACCGGTTCGACTCCTGACCCGCCAGGTTGCTGGGGGGAGTAATCAACCAGCGCTCTCCCCCATCCTCCTCCATGACTGAGGTACCCTGAGCATGGTACCGTCCAGCCACACTGCTCCCTTGGGGCGCCATTGAGGGCTGCCCCCTTGCACGGGTGAGGCATAAATGCAATTTCATGGTGTGCAGTGTTCACTTGTGTGTGCTGTGTCACAATGACAATGGGAGTTGGAGGAGTTTCCCAAAGGGCTTTTCGTTTCCCAAAGGGCTTTTCAGTATGCCCATTCAACAACTTTGAACTTATCCAACCAGTAGTTGTCTTTTAAAGTTCTTGAAAATGTTGTTTCTTATGAGTTCAAGCCCTCAAATCATCCTCAAAACTTTAAAATAAACTCATATTACTCAATCAAACCCCAGGTGAGTGGATGCAAACCTCTGATTGGGGCTGCAGTAACGTGTGTGTATATCATAGATATGTTACTTACAGCCACTCTAAATGATTCAGATCTCTAAACACATCTGGACTGAGGGTGGATATCAAGTTGTCACTCAGAAACCTGAAAGAAGAAGTAGGAAAAGCAAATAAAACAAAAATCAAGAACATATCGCCATCTGATGAATCCAGAAAAATGTAAACTAAGAAAGAACAGAGAAGAACCAGGTTGCTAATAAGTGCATACATGGAGATTAGGTCAGGAAAACTGCATAGGAAGGAATATATAATCATTATTTTTGTTTTTGTGAACTGGAATCTGTCTATGATCTGATCTTGTGTGTTATGTTCCTTTTTTTCTACAAAATGACATAAATCCAAATCTTGGAAAAGGTTTGTGAACACAAAGTAGACTTAAAGTCTTTATTTGGAAAAATAAGTTGATTTAAAATGCTTTTGTTTCTCACGAGAGTTCAAGTTTTGTACATGTTGATAAAACCTGTCAACCAGCTATCTACATTTTATTTACATTCACTGCATTGCCAGAAGGACTGGGATACGTGTGTTCCAACTGACACGAACTCTACTGACATCATATTCTTAATATGTTCCTAAAATATGCAGCAATAACCTGACAAAATTCCTTAATCTCAAACATGATACTGTAAAAACAATCTGTCTTGCATGATTAAGATTTATTTAATTTGGCATTTTTGATGCTAAACAATGAAAATAAATATCAGGCTTAACCTTATTTCTGATTACTTTGTTTATTATTATCAGACCAAATAGAGCGGCTCATATAGCACAGGGACCTCTTCCTAACTGACATGCTTTTCATAAAGTTGGGGACTTTTGCACACACTGCCTTGGTGTGCACCATCTCTGATGTTTCTGGCCTACCAGGCTGCAGCTAAACGACCAGTTTTCTTCAGTGCTTCATCTGTATGATGCCACTGAACACTTTCTAGTGAAGAAATTTCACAAATGAATTTACTGCTCAGGTGGGCTTTCTGTTACCATACTACCCTGGAATTCACTGGGCTCCTGAAAATGAGCCATTCTTTCACAACCTGTAGAAACGGTCTCGGCTCGATTTGATACATCTGTGCTAATAAAAATGATTGAAACACTTGAATGTTTTGGGTGAGTTTCAACCCCTTTGGCAGTGTAGAATAGATTTGTTTGGATGCTGTTATTCTAAACCTCAGGACTTTGCATCAGCAGATGTGAATTTTTTATGTCTTAATTTTACAGTTTTGAATATTTGGCAAATCAAACTAGTCAAAAGAATGCAAAATACTCTCATTAGTTTAAGACCATATTTGAAATGTTAATACAGTACAGTCTGAACTTGAAAGATAAGCTTATTTAGAACCTTACATTAAGTTTAATTTACTGTAACTGTTCTGTGGAGATCAGTGGTATTTCCTTAAGGAACCAACATACTTACAACTTTTTAAGACTGTACAGTCCACGGAAGGCGTGCTTTGATATGGAATGAAGGGTGTTATTTTGCAGGAATCTGAGAACAGAGAACAAAAAATATTTTTCTCCTGAAGCTCTGCTCTGCAAGACATTGTTAACTATATATGAATTCAATACATACACGTATGTGTGAAACATAAAATTACATATTTTAAAGAATGAAAACTGTTCTCCTTGATTATTCTCATATGCTACAACCAGTATATGATGCATTTTACGTCCGTCAAAGTTAAGTTTTAATGTTTCACAAAGGTTTGGAATTTGTTTTTGCTTTTTTTCTGTCATTTTGCATCTTTAGAGCTTATCATTTATTATTTATCTTCACATATGAAAATGTTTACAGCAATTTGGAAATGTATTACAAGTACAATTAAAAAAAAAACAACCAAAGTCTTACAAGACACAGAGAAGGAGAAAACATCAAACAGGTAGACGGTAACTTGCTTTGGTTCTCTTGGGGAGTGTTGGCCTAGTGGTCAGGGCAGTGCGCTTGTGCTCTGAGAAGGTTGCAAGTACGCGGTTCAATCTCCACAGCCTCCACTCTGGGTCTCTGAGCTCCCAAAGGGGATGGGTTAAATGCAGAGGTATGGGGGAGTGGTGGTGTTCTGTCAGATGAGCATACCCTGTCAATATGCACGTGCAAGATGTCAGATTTGTGTTTATCCCTCAGTTGTGAATGAAAAATGTACTTTAAACTACCTCGGTGGGTGTATCCCTTTAGTAATATACCAGAAAAAAACATAATTCAAAGTCAGATTGCCATATGCTTCAAAATACACAGAAAGTTGAGTAAGTAAATAGTTTTTTGTACATGACTAAATGGATACATGCCCATCGGGGTAGTTGAAAGTATATTTTTTGTTTAAAACTAAAGGGATAAACTAAAGGAATAAACATGAATAAACTAAAGGGATAAACGGGTATTGACTATATGTATGCTGGTCTGACCGGGTATGCTCATCTGACAGAACACCCCACTCCCACTACCTCCACTCTGTGTTCCTGAGCAAGACCCTTAACCCCCGATTGCTCCCCGGGTGCCCAAAGTTGTCAGCTCACTGATTTCCAAGGTGATGGGTTACATACAGAGGTAAATTTCTCCAATGTGAGATCAATAAAGTTCAATTATTATTATTTTTTTTAATGTTTTACTGTCATGGAATCTGAAACTAAAAGGCAGGGTAAATGCTCTGATCCATTTACAAGATTTGGTATTACAAAAAAACAAAACAAATGTTATACCCTGTGAAGCAACTTAACTCTACTATACAACTCCTGATTAACAGTGATGAATTAAGTATCTTCAAATATCACGAATAGCTGCTTCCTTGAGTCTTTATGTGTTGCAGAATGTTATGGAATGCGAATAGTCCACCAGGTGCTGCATTGTTAAAAATTGATAAATTATCCTCAGAATCCATTTAAGACAACAGGAAATAAAGAAAATGCAATAAAATCTTTCAAAGCAACAGTTTAACTGCATTTCCTTTCAGAACACTGAGTTACACAGCTGGTATGATGCAGCCAGACTTTCTCTGTGTGAGAAAAAGTAAACTTAGGGAATAGACAATCTTTCTTTGCTTATCTTTCTTAAGCTTTGTGCATAACCTAAAAGGCTAATTTTAGCGAATTAGCTGTTGCTATTGCACCATGATGCAAACATGGGACTGCTGATTCATTCAGTTTGTCTATGTAAATGTGTGTCTGTCCCTATCAAATAAACTTTAATAATAATAATAATAATTTAAGTATATACTGAAACAGAGTTTTTTTTCCCCCTGGAAAAATGAAACAAAGAGCCGATGTATACGTTTTGTAGAACTATGATATAATTACATTTGGAAAAGAGACCCTGCAGAAACACATTTCAGTACAAACGTATGCCTGAGTACTGAGTAGTATAAAAGCTTATCCCCCTGTAGCTTCTAAACCTGGATAGATTTCTTATGACTTTTAACTCTAATTTATCAATAACCTTTTTGACAATATCTAAAGGAGGTTCACGCTTTTCAAGAATATTACTTGTGAATTGACCTCGCACCAAGATCAAATACCACCAGACTTCCCTTCTTACTGTTTTCAACAGAGATGGCAAAAGTACTCACTTTCCATACTTGAGTAAAAGTACAGATACTTGTGTTAAAAAATACTCTGGTAAAAGTCGAAGTACTGATTAAACTTCTTTACTCAAGTAAAAGTAACAAAGTACAGGCTTGTAAATTTACTTAAAGTATAAAAGTAAAAGTAGAAACCACTTTTTTCATGCCATTGCCTACATTTTAAATGGATGTCTGCCAATAGGACTAGATCTCCGTTGTGTTAATTTTCAATCATCTCGTCGTCCATACTACTGTGCTAACACCACCGCCATCAAGCTGCAATGATTTGCCGCGAATGAATCTGTCGATTCATCTTGTAGTGGTGCGTTAAATGCAACGTAGATTCCCATCCAATTAGATTGAATTTGGTATTGATGACGTGAAAAATAACAACGGTAACTCCATTGAAATGATTCAAAACTAAAGTAGCGAGCCAATTTTTTAAAATGTAAGGAGTAGAAAGTACAGATATTTGTGTAAAAATGTAAGGAGTAGAAGTAAAAAGTCGCCATAAAAATAAGTAGTAAAGTAAAGTAAAAATATCAGAAAAATCTACTTGAGTACAGTAATTGTAAACCAGAGATGGGAAGTAACGAAGTACAAATACTTCGTTACTTCCCATCTCTGGTTTTCAATTAGGTGTATTCTGCATTAACTAATGATGAGTAAAGTCATTTTAGCTAACTAATGATGAGTAGAGTAATAGTTAATATAATAATTTCATAATTTGATGTCTCGTGTAATTTTGGGGGAAAAAACACTCAAAGAACACAGCAAACGCTTTAACTACATATCAAAACCATAGTATTTAGCATTATGATTTTCATTCTTAAGACAAGCATCTCATGCTGCAGTACACAGCTTGTTACTGCTGGTGATATTTTCTGACAGTTTGGAGACATCACATGAAAACCCACAGATGCACCACAGATCCACATCAAACCAAATACGCTAAAATGACCAAATAATATCATTATAGAATGTAATGCTCCAAAATGCAACTCTCTGTCTGCACCAGTGAACATTTGCTACGTGTTATCTAAAGTTTGCTCAGAGCAACTGTAGTGGCTAGCAGCCTGACCAGGGCAATCACGAAAGTGAATTTTACACCTTTCACTGCAAATGATTTATACAAAACCAAGAGCCACCAAAAGCATCCTTTACTAGACATGATAAATGTAAAAGGTTATAAATTATTCCCGCCATTTTATAAGTAAAGATCTGAGCGAACATATATACCAGGATAAGAAAAATTGTGGCTGCAGAGATACATTCTTTATATTCCTCAAAAGAAAAAAGGAAAAAAACTGATTTATGCTGCTCTAAGAACTGCTGTATGTAACATTCATCACCAAATTTGAAGCAATTTTGAGCTAAAAAAAATTGGACAATTAACCAACATGGTTTCACATGTTTGCAGAGGAGTTAATTATTGGAGCGGTTTTACCAGGAACCATATGCCCCTTTAAAAATATGGGCCATTCTGCGGCAATTAGTTTAATTAGAAAGCAGATGGTGCCTTTTGTTTTTTATAGTTCACTTAAGTATCTTAAGTATCATTACCTCATTCTAGTTAAGAGTTGGTCTTTATGAACACTTGGTTAAAGGTGGATGCTTTCTTGTTGAGATAAAACAAAGTGCACACAAATAATTAATCCACTTAGGGAATTGTTTATAGGAATAAATCACAACCAGGAATCAGGACAGGTTGAAACATTAACATTTTGCAAAGAAATCGATCTGAAAAGGTTATGCAGGCAGTATTCAGATAGAGCTGATTTAGTTGGGAAGGTTTAAATGGATTAGAAATAGTCATAACAGCTATTTAGATTGAGTTTAGTGACAGACATTAAGTTGATTTTTATCTGATCTTCAGATCAGGGGAGTAGTGAGGAGAAAAAGCTTGGCATGTTAGCTGCCAGTTTAAATCCAAAAGTAAGTCAGATCAAGCAATGTGTTAAACCCAAAGTTACAGAAAACATGCACAACCTACATACAGGATATCTAACACACTAATCTTTTATTCAGGTGTTCTGTTTTAAGCTAATCTCCCGAGGTAATATAGTTGCTTATATTTGTGTAAATCTTATTTTTCTCTCAATATATAAGGTTGGAACCAAACACAATGTACTAAATGTGTTGCTATCCATTTATAAAACAAAATAGAAAATTCTGCCTCACATTCTCTGTGGGGAATATCTGCTTATTTATTTCAGCACATAATTTAATAATACCATACTTTTCTGGGCCAATCTGGCGGCTTACTCTGTTTTTAAGACTTTTTTTTTAGAGCTATACAACCAGCTTTAATTTATGACCATCATTTATGCAATTCATTACCTTGCACATCTCCATATCTTAGTCACATCCAGCATTTTAGGGTTGGACGTTTCTAAAGATGAGCTCATAAGTAGTCCTCTTTAAAGCTGGTCAACCAAGCCGATATCTAAGCTTAGGTGACCAGAATGAAGCTCTCCTTCTGTCCATCTGATGCTCATCCCGGAAAACTGTGTTAGAAGTGTTTCATACCATCGGCCCCTGGGTTACCAACTTGATAAATACCTCTTTGTCTTCTGCTGTTTTTCCCAGCTCTTTTAAATATGCCTTTGCGGAACCACTTCTCAAATAAAATCTAATTTAGATCCTACTGATCCAGTTTCAGGCCCAAATCAAAGCTCCCATTCCTGTGCAAAGTTTTAGAGAAAGTGGTCATTCAACATTCAACCTACTTTTTTGAGAAAAAATACAACTTTTGACTTCTTTCAGTCATGTTTCTGCAAGTATCACTCTACTGAAACCGCCCTGCTTAAAGTCTTAGTGTTTCAGCAAATTAGTTCTAGTCTGACTCCACAGATTTGTTGAGTGGAATACCTCAGGGTTCTTTTTTTAAGCCCATTTGCAGATGACATACAGCTGCACTGCACTTTTAAGGCCTCTG